CCTGGACCTGTTCCTCCGCTTCCTTCTGGGTCTCTCACTCAAGTCCAATCAAACTCTCTTACAAGGCTTACTGTCACAGACAGGAAGCAAGTCGCACACCAGTGAGGAAACAGCCAAGTACATAAAGATGAAGATCAGGAAGAATCCCTCTCTAGAGAGGTGCATCAACCTGTTCCACTGTCTGAGTGAACTGAATGACATTTCTCTAGTGGAGGAGATCCAAAGCTACCTGAGCTCAGGAAGTCTCTCAGACGCTGAACTGTCACCTGCACAGTGGTCCGCTCTGGTCTTTGTTTTGCTGACTTCAGTGGAGAAGCAGGATGTATTCGAACTGAGAAAGTATTTGCGATCAGAGGAGGGTCTTCTTATGCTGCTACCAGTGGTCAAAGCCACCAGAACAGCAATGTGAGTATTTATGGACACATTTCCATAATTTCTTCATGGTCTTTATAGTCTTTACCCTGTTTGTGGACCAAATGTGTTGTTTTATTCTTTCTTCCAGCCTGAAAGATTGTAACTTGACTGAAAGATGCTGTAAGTCTTTGGCTTCAGCTCTCAGTTCGAACTCTTCTTCACTGAGAGAGCTGGACCTGAGTGACAATAAACTGCAGGATTCAGGAGTGAAGCTGCTCTCTGCTGGACTGAAGAATCCAGGCTGTAAATTGAAGACACTGAGGTAAGGGCATCTCTCTAAGAGTGGAAATATATAATTACTTTTGTTTTTGGAAATGTGAATTGATTAAACTCTTTAAAATGTCCAGTTGCATATAGAGTTGAGTATTTCTCCCATTGCAGGCTGAAGAGCTGTGGTACCACAAAGGTTGGCTGTGCTTTTCTGGCTTCAGCTCTGAGGTCAAACTCCTCCCACCTGAGAGAGCTGGATCTGAGCAGGAATATCTTTGGAGACTCTGGGCTAAAGATGCTTTCTACTGTACTGGAGGATCCACACTGTAAACTGGACATACTAAGGTTAGTTTCATACAGATTTCGGATCTTAATTTGAGCCAGTTTGCTAGAGCAAGAAAAGAATCCTGCAGCAACAGGAAATCTGAATTAGTATGTGGATTATAATTAATGGACATGTTTGTAGGGGTTGATACATTTTTCTTACGGGAAAATCAGGTCTGAAATGTCAAAGTTCAAATTACAAACTTCAGAAGTCTTTTAAAACCTCAAATACACTACATGTTTTACATTTCCTGCATTGCAGGAAAGTTCTCCTGTAACAGGGTGATCAAATTAAGTTGGCTGTCTTCTTCTAAAGAAGATTGGGTCATTCATCTGTCATTCACTAAGCAATACTTGGATCTCAAATAGCTGTTTACATGAGGATAGTTATTAACTAACTCTAAGTCGCTCTGGATAAGAGCGTCTGCTATATGACTAAAATGTAAATGTGATTCTCTTTCCATCTGTAGCCTTTCTGGCTGTGGAGTCACAGAGGAGGGTTGTGCTTCTCTGGCTTCAGCTCTGAGGTCAAACCCCTCACATCTGAGAGAACTGGACCTGACCAGCAACCAACCAGGAGACTCAGGAGTGAAGCTGCTCTCTGCTGTACTGGAGAATCCACAGTGTAAATTGCAAAAACTGAAGTGAGTACTAGAACAACTCAAGAATGTTCTGTAATTTCAGGATTTAGGTCAAGCTATGTGATTTGTGATCTGATTTTGTTGAGGATATCTGGGCATGGGCATTTAATTCTGAGGTCAGAAAGCCAAGGGAGAATGTGGCAGTACTGTTCTCCAGTTGCTCTTATAAACTATCAGTCTAAATTAATTCATCAACTTGAAGTTACTTCTCAATGAGTAATGAAGTGTACTGCAATGCCTATGACAGTAGGACATTAAATTATGCTGCTTCCCTCTGCAGGCTGTATAACTCTAAAACCACAGAGGAAGGATGTTCTTATCTGGCTTCAGCTCTGATGACAAACCCCTCACACCTGAGAGAGCTTGACCTAGGTGGAAATAAGTTAAGAGACTCAGGAATGAACCATCTCTCTGCTGCACTGAAGGAACCACTCTGTAAACTGGAAACACTGAGGTGATGTGTCATTAAAATACATTTTCTTTAATGAAATAAACAATGTTCACAAGGATAAAGGAAAACTAAATTGGGTAGTTATAGGTTTGAACATAAATAATGTCATCATGTGCTATGAAACTGCATATCATACAAATGAACCACTCTGTCTTCAGGTTGTTAGGCTGTGGAGTCACAGAGGAGAGCTGTGCTTCTCTGGCTTCAGCTCTGAGGTCAAACCCCTCACATCTGAGAGAGCTTGACCTGACCAACAACCAACCAGGAGACTCAGGTGTGAAGATGCTCTCTGCTGTCCTGGAGGATCCACTCTGTAAACTGGAAAGACTTTCGTAAGTAATACAGCACATTCCATAATGTCATAATAGGGGCGCTATAACTGATCCACCTGGAGGCTTGCAGGCAGCATGCACGCAGCTTGCTGATGGACATTAACATTTCACAGTCACAATCAGTATCTGTACATTTTACCTTCATATCTATTCCCAGGCTGAAATGCTGTAACCTCACTGAGAAATGCTGTGGGTCTCTGGCCTCAGCTCTCAGCTCAAACTCCTCTAGTCTGAGAGAGCTGCACCTGAGTCACAATAACCTGCAGGATTCAGGAGTGAAGCTGCTCTCTGCTGGACTGGGGAATGCACACTGTAAAGTGGAAACACTGGGGTAAGGCCATCTTTCTTGGAGACCATGAAGTTGCATGGAAGCATGAAAACAAATTATAAACTAAATGTAGTGATCCGAAATAGCATCTTTTGACCTTTTATAAGTTGTTGCCACCCATCAGGCAAATAATGTGCTGTTGAGGAAAGCAATCAGAACTAGTTTTTTAGTGTGTCCAGAACTGACAGAATTACAGGTGTTTCTCTCTCTGCAGGCTGTCATGTTGTTGGGTCACAGAGGAAGGCTGTGCCTATTTGGCTTCAGCTCTGAGGTCAAACCCCTCACACCTGAGAGAGCTAGATCTACTAATGAATAAACCAGGAGACTCAGGAGCGAAGCTGCTCTCTGATGTCTTGGAGGATCCACTCTGTAAACTGGAGAAACTTAATGTATAATGCACTCTGTACAATATTTTTGTGTGATAAAACTAATACATTTCCACCTTTTAATGCATTTTCATACATTTCAAGAAGAGTTTGCTGTGTAGAAAATGTTTCTGTCTGCAGACATTTTCACTGCATGTATGGGGAAATGTCACACATAAACATTGTTATAACAAGAAACAAGGACTTTTGTTGCATCCATGTGAAATGCTGGGTTGTTATCTAATAATTCAGAGACAGCGGATTGACTGACCTTCATGTCTTAAAGTAATGATGGACTGTCATTTCTCTTTGCTTATTTGAGCTGTTCTTGCCATAATATGGACTTGGTATTTTACCAAATAGGGCTATCTTCTGTATACCCCCTACCTTGTCACAACACAACTGATTGGCTCAAACGCATTAAGAAGGAAATAAATTCCACAAATTAACTTTTAACAAGGCACACCTGTTAATTGAAATGCATTCCAGGTGACTACCTCATGAAGCTGGTTGAGGGAATGCCAAGCGTGTGCAAAGCTGTCATCAAGGCAAAGGGTGGCTATTTGAAAATATATTTTTATTTGTTTAACACTTTTTTGGTTACTACATGATTCCATATGTGTTTTTTCATAGTTTTGATGTCTTCACTATTATTCTACAATGTATATAAAGAAAAACCCTTGAATGAGTAGGATAAGAGCGTCTGCTAAATGATGTAAATGTAAATGTGTGTCAACTTTTGACTGGTACTGTATATGAGGGTGTACAAAACATTAAGAACACCTTCCTACTATTGAGTTGCACCCCAGCCTTTTGCCCTCCAGAACAGCCTCAATTCGTTGGGGCATGGACTACAAGGTGTCGAAGGTGTTCACAGGGATGCTGGCCCATGTTGACTCCAATGCTTCCAACAGTTGTGTCAAGTTGGGTGGTGGACCATTCTTGATACACATGGGAAGCTGTTGAGCGTGAAAAACACAGCAGCGCTGCAGTTCTTGACACAAACCGGTGCATCTGGCACATACTACCCTACCCTGTTGAAATGCACTTCAATCTTTTGTCTTGCCCATTCACCCTCTGAATGGCACTTATACACAGACACAATCCTTCTTTAACCTGGCTCCTCCCCTTCATCTACACTGATTGAAGTGGATTTAACAAGTGACATCAATAAGGAATCATAGCTTTCACCTGGATTCACCTGGTCAGTCTGTCATGGAAAGAGCAGGTGTCCTTAATGTTTTGTACACTCAGTGTATATTCCGGACTCTGAAATTGCTCGTTCTGATATTTCTTTATTTTTACTTTTTGGATTATATGTGTATTGTTCTGTATTGCTAGGTATTACTGCACTGTTGGAGCTAGAAACACAAGCATTTCGCTGCACCTGCGATAACATCTGCAGATCTGTGTATGCGACCAATACACTGGTCGCATTTTTTACATTTATATTTGTGTCTTGTTTATGGTGTTGAAATAAATATGAAGCTTCCTAGATGTGTTGTGCTTTTTTATTATGGTAACCTCTGAAATGGGATTCTTTCATTTCTGAATATCCCCACTCAGTCAAAATGTCAATGATTGATGATGAGATGGGCATGCAGTTTGAGGGGGGATGCACTCATGCAGGACTTACTATTAAACTTGGTTGTGTGGTGCAGTTTAAAAAATAACTAATTCAAGTTTGTGTCATGAAAATAAATACGTAATACCTATAAATTATGTGTTTGACAATTCATCGCTCACTGCCTGATAAGTGTTGCCGATTTTGTGAATCGGGAAAGTGCTTTCGTTTAACACGCTCATCGCTTGAGGACGTGGCGGTTATTGGCCAATCACAAGGCCGAAGCTGTCCTGAAGTGGGCCAATGGACGAGCGGCATGGCACAAGCGCATATGTAACGCTATTGGCTGGTTGGGTTTTTAGCACCGGAAACGATGTTACAGCGATGGGTGTGTATCCGGAGTAGTTAGATATTCAAAATCGAAAGACTTTTCAAAAAGACCGGTGGTGAGTAAAGTATCTATTTTAGGCTTACTTAAATACACAGTTAATCTCTGTTTTTATCCTGCTTAGTTATTGTAACATTAAACACACTGAAATAGGCAGTGCAAATTACATCACGCATTTAGTTCAACAACAGATCTCGGGCTAGCTTGCTTGCAAACTGCACCGGTACCAAGGGTGAATCCATTACGCCGATTCTGTTGCAAAACGTTTCTTAAACGGAAGTCAACGGAACGAAACGTGGAGGGACCTAACTGAATTTGTCCTATATAAACTCTTGTTTTGCTCTGTTTGGTTCTTAAACGGTTTCCGTAATGAATACGCCCCAGCACTCACAAATTAGCTAGCTAGATACCCTGTTTATTTTAGCCAGAAACGGTGAAACCACAGATGAGGAGGGGAAACCCCGAATTAGTTAAGTGTCTTTGATGGAACTATCTCATTTTATCACACATTGAACACGTTTATATCAGGTAGATTGCTAATTTAAGGCCGTTACAACAACACCACAACTACTTAGACTGGTGAAACTGAGTTAAGTCGTGACGAATTCCTGTCTACTAAATGCACTGACACAAACATTGTTGTGTAGTAAACCAAGTTCGTTAACTCCTCTCTGCTCTCTCTCCTGTCTGTGTGTGTGTGTCAGATTATGGAGCTGCGGCCGTTGGTCATGTGCTTTGTGCTGTGCGTGGTCTATGCCTTTAGTAAACCCACCATCGAGAAAAAGGACCGCGTCCACCATGACGACCCGCTTAGCAACCGCGACCATGAAGATGAAGAGAACTTTGATTATGACCATGAGGCATTTCTAGGACAGGATGAGGCCAAGACCTTCGATCAGCTCACGCCTGAAGAGAGCAAGGAGAGACTTGGGTAACACACACACACACACACTCTAAGCAGCTGCATCTTGTATAGAAGCGAGAGAGATGGATTCGTATAGAAGAGATGAAAAGATGGATTAACACTTCATCTCTCTCTCTCCCTACAGTATGTTAGTAGAGCGTATAGATGAGGACAAGGATGGGTATGTGTCAGTAGAGGAGATGATAAAGTGGATCAAACACAGTCAGAAGAGGTGGATCTATGACGACGTGGACCGCCAGTGGAAAGGTCACGACCATAACGGAGATGGACTGGTGTCCTGGGAGGAGTACAAGAATGCTACATACGGATACATACTGGGTACGGGGATACACACTCTGAAAGGAGTATAAGAATGTAACCTACGACACCTGACCAGTACCTTTTTACTGGAAGGTCTGACTTAACTTTTCTAATTGATGTGTGTGACCTTTAGATGATCCAGACCCAGAGGATGGCTTCAGCTACAGACAGATGATTTCACGCGATGAGAGGAGATTCAAAATGTCTGACCTGGATGCTGACCTGAAGGCCAATAAAGAAGAGTTTACAGCCTTCCTCCATCCTGAGGAGTACGACCATATGAAGGATATAGTTGTACTGGTGGGTCACACACACACACACACAACTTAAATGTTGTATTTATTGTCTAAGGTAGCCAGCCAGTAACATCTCTGTGCCTCTACCCTCTCCTGTAGGAGACCATGGAGGACATCGATAAGAACGGAGATGGCTTCATAGACCTGGAGGAGTACATAGGTAAGTTATTACCTGTTATAACACCTGGAGGAGTACATAGGCGATTTATAGCATCAGCTGAGCCCGAGTGGGTGAGAACAGGGCGAGCAGTTCATTTACATTTCTCTCTCTCTCCCTTCCCTTTCTTTCACCTCTCTCCCCTCCTCAAGGTGACATGTATAACCAGGAGGGTGATCCTTCAGAGCCGGAGTGGGTGAGGACAGAGAGAGAACAGTTTACTGAGTTCAGAGACAAAAACAAAGATGGCCGCATGGACAAGGAGGAGACCAAAGACTGGATCCTACCTTCAGACTACGACCATGCAGAGGCAGAAGCCAAACACCTGGTCTACGAGTCCGATAATGACAAGGTTTGTGTTGTGTATGTACACGTGTTGATGTGTGAGCTAGTTTTGTGTTTGTGTGTGTGCGCATGTGAGCAAATACTGAAACTCTGTTTTCTCTCTCTATCGCTCTATAGGATGGCAAACTGACCAAGGCAGAGATTGTTGAGAAGTATGACCTCTTCGTTGGTAGCCAGGCTACTGACTTTGGAGAAGCCTTGGCAAGACACGATGAGTTCTAACCCTTCCACTTCCGACGCTGGGTTGGGCTCAATTCCAATTCAATTCAGTCATGGAATTGAAATCCCAATTTAAAAGTAGTGCGCTATATGGAGTGACATTTGAGATGGAGCTTTTCACTCCAATGCCAAGGACAATCATTTATTTGATTTCCTGGCCTATTATACACACTAGTGAATACATCACTTTGTACTAAGTAGTGCACGATCAGGACACACCTCCTTGTTCCAGCTCCCCCTCCACCACCCTCTCGTCCAATCCGGACAATGGAAAGGATATATAGTATTTCCTTTGGTTTGTCTTTGTTTGCAGATCAACTTTGTTATTTAAAAAGATTTATAGAATATAGCAGTAAGCGTTTGTTCAAACAAGGTTGCAAAAACAATCTATCATGCATGCAATTAAGTGCCGAACTGCATGTTGGGGTCAATTCAGTTTTCAATTTAGGAAGTGAATTAAAATGTAATAGAAAACAAACTGAATTGATCTCAACCCTGGTGTGTATAGCCTTGTGTGTATTCTGCTATGCACTGGACTATGAAGGGGAGCTATAACACGGGCGGGCCATCTGTGGGCTACCACCACAAACTGCTCTTTGATTTGATTAACTAGCAATTTCTTCATACCACCACTCTCCAAATGTGGTCAATCCTCCCAGGTTTAGGGTTAGTGGTTGTAGCCCACGGAGTAGTCCTCATCAAAGCTTCATGAAGATAGTTTGAATGCGAGCAATTACTTCATCACCAGATGGGCTGTGCGTTGGCCAATAGCGGTCCTCCGTGACCCCTGTGTGTGCAGGTTTTAGTCCCTTGGTAAGTCTTAATTAGGGGTTAGATCAGTGTTTCTCAACTTCAGTCCGAGAACCCCCAGGGTCATACATTTCTGATCTAGTCCCTGTACTAGCACAAAATATTCATAGCCCTGTGCTAGTACAGGTCTGGAACATCCTTTTGTTTTATTTTGGAATCTGCTGAATTCTATGCTGTACTACACACTCCTACATATACTACACAGACCTACTACACTAATTATGTTTGGAGGATTATTAAAGTCAGTTTTCCCCTAAGGCTTCTTCCTTAGTTATCGTCATAATAACTGTATAACGCCCCTCACTTACTTTATGACGCTCTATAACCACTGTTATTGGTCTGGTTCAACTTCCCTTAAGCCCTTTGTCATAAGGGCTACATAACATTGCCATAACAATGACATATACAGTCATGAATGTTGGTGTAAAGTCAGTTGTGATAAACTGACACAAAGTATGATTGTTTATGACATGTTATGTCATGTTTTCAAGTGTTATGTAGCCCTTATGACGGTTCTAGTAAAGTGTTTCCGTTGTCTTATATGATATGTTATAATGTATATGATATAGCTGTTTTTTACACACTTAATGCAGCGCCAAGCCTGTCACTGGTGACTACCCTGTACATACATTGTCACCTGTTGCCTTGTCGACAGTGTGTGTTTTTCTGATTAAAATGATATTGTGGAGTACCGATGTGTGGTGGTGGTTTAATAGAAATAGAACGAATCATTCTAATTCCATGGGTGCTATGTATGATATAGGGTGAAACGTTTTAGACCAAACTAAATAAAATCTCTGTTACCACATCATATGCTACAACCAAGACTAGAACCATCGGATCAATCAAGACTTTATACTAAATTGCCATTCAGTTTCTTTTAAAAATGAACCGGGAATAGAATGCTGTGGGTATATTTTAGAATTGTATCTAAATGAATTACCCTCTTATAGCTCCTCCAATCACAGGATATCTTTCCATATAACACATGAATCAACACATTGATCAATACAACATCTCTGTCCACCGAATCATCAGCAAGGTGAACAACAGAGTTGAAGTCACAATGCTCCACAGAGGTCAAAGCTCAATGTAAAATGCATCTCTATGGGTGGGGCCGGAACTTGATTCCAGCGTTGCCGCAGAAACCGCATCCTACAGTTCTAATTCAGGCAGCAGCATCTATACATAGAGTCAATATGAGACAAGACGGTATCGATTACCGGAAACACATAATGCATACCGGTTTGCAGTATATGCATGCACAATCACACTTACAGTAATGCATATGTAATAGACGCATACACAATTACACACAGACGTATGTATAGACAGACACACAAGGTTAATACATTAAAACCAGTCATCCAGTTGGAATGTAAATGTTGTCTCCTGCTGAAGTCTCAGTATGCTAACGAGCTATAAAAAGCCCTGTCACCAAATCATGAATATTCATCCATGTCCCGGCGAGGGTGACCTATGAGGGCGCAGCAGAGGTCACAAGGGGCGGGGCTTGGATCAGAGGGACTCAACCCCCTGGGACCCACCGTAATGGACAGAACACACACATCCTCATACTTATGCTGCATTCGTAACCAAGTGGGAAGTGGGAATTTACCACATACAACTAGGAACAATTCACTTGAACAGATTTTTTAACACTATCATTTGTTTACAAGCATGATAACTGTACTTTTTATTTATGGTTTACGCAGCTTGTTGGCCATTAGCCAATCAGAGTTTCGCAACAAGTTAAAAGCACGTCAATGCATCTAATTACGACTTCACAACTGGTAGATTCCCACCTCCCACTTGGTTACGAACGCAGCATAATACAGCCAACCAGAGATGCACTCTCTCTCCTGCTCCTTTCTCTCTCTCCTTCTTTTTCTCTCTCTCTCTCATTCCCTTTTTCCTGTCATACCTGTGCTCCTTGTCTCAGAGACTCTGCCGGATGAACAGAAGGTTAAAACAAACAACAAGAAGCTGCCTGCCACCCCTCCTCTTTCCTCCTCCTCTCCTCCTCCTGTCATCTCTTTCTCCTCTTCCACCTCTGTTGTCATCTCTTCCTCTCTCCTCCTCCTCCTCCTCTCTCTCTCTTTCTTTTTGTGCAGAGGTGTACCTGGGAGTCCTCCCTCTCTCCACCCTGCAGCCAGACAGAACCAAAGCCAGGACACACACACAGGTAAGACTCCCTCTCTCCTCTCTCTCTCTTTCTCACTCTCTCTTTTTCTCTCCCAGGGTGTGGTCAGTGATGGGTATTGAGGTGATGGTGGGGTTGGGTTGGGTTGGGTTAGAATATTGGGTTGCTGTTAGATATTTGACTGTGGATTAGGGTTAATGTCATTACCAGTCTTGGTTGTAAATGGGGGGATATCAGAACCATATACATACAGTATGTTATCTTTATCTTAACCCTTTATTTAACCAGTCAGGTCTAACTTCTAACCAGGCAGGTCTAAAGAGAGTGGGTTAGAGTCCGAGTGAGAGAGTTCAGCCATGATGGAACAAACAGCTCTAAGACAATACACTGTGGAAGTGACTTACCATGCACTTGTAGTACGTACCCATTAGTAGCCTAGCATGCTGGAAACAAGCAAAACAGAAAAATTACTTATTCTTCCTGATTAGCAACAGTGTTTGACATGATGATGTCAATGTAATTGCGTATTACACTAGTTGTAGAATGCTAGACTGTCTTTATGGAATATTTGACATCAACATGGATAATGGTTAGGAGCTGAGTGAGTCGGTTTCCCAGACTCAGATCTGAAAACATAGCAGGTTTAGGACAAAGGTGAAGGGGTAGGATGTGAATTGGTACCGTTCCTACTCTGGACAGAAACATTCTCACCTCCTTTCTTCAGAGATCCCACACTCATGATGTCCTTTCTCCGTCCCCCTCTCTCCCTCCACACCTCTCCTCCCCCCCATGTGTTGTGTTGTCAGCAGGTTTGAGGTTTGGGGACAGGGTTGTGTATCCTTTGTTCAGGCCTTAGTGCCAGACCAGCAGAAACACAAGAGGCCATCTGACACACACGCATGCACACATCTATAACCACTCTATAACACATACAGCTGGATGTATCTCAAAACATGCACGTTTTATGAAGTCCATGAGATGGTGGTGATCATTTATATGGATCTAAAGAAAATGCTACAGATGCATGGAATGTGCCTGCCAGCTGCAGTATCACACACACATTTTTAAATAAGCACTGTCTATTTGAAAAGTTACAGTAATTTTTGTCCAGGTCTCTGGAATGTTGCGGGATTGTGAGGTACTGTTAAATAAACAATCTGTAATTCAAACAGCCTGCCCTGTCACTTTGTTTGGTATTCTAAGGGATGGGGCTGGGAAATGTAACCACTCACTCAAATTTAAAGACAGAGCTAGTTTGGATGCAATAATTTACATATTTTGACAGACTCTCCGTCTCTCTGTGTGTTTCTCTCTCTCTCTCTAGGTGATGACAGGCAGTCATAGGGCCACCCCGGCACAGCCCAGCCCCTCCCCCCTGTCAATCAACCCCAATGCCACAGCAACCCCAGAACCTGGGCCTGGAGGCCACACCCCCACTAAGTTTATGAGCGAATTGCACTCCCTCCACAGTGAGTAACAACCAATCGGGTGGGTTTCCAGAGCCTTCATAGCGCTAAGTTTACATTTACATTTACATTTACGTCATTTAGCAGACGCTCTTATCCAGAGCGACTTACAAATTGGTGCATTCACCTTATAGCCAATGGGATAACCACTTTACAATGTGTTTTTTTATTAAACAAATTTTTTTTTTGGGGGGGGGGGGGGTTGGGGTAAGGGAGGGGTAGAAGGATTACTTTATCCTATCCCAGGTATTCCTTAAAGAGGTGGGGTTTCAAATGTCTCTGGAAGGTGGTGAGTGACTCCGCTGTCCTGGCGTCGTGAGGGAGCTTGTTCCACCATTGGGATGCCAGAGCAGCGAACAGTTTTGACTGGGCTGAGCGGGAACTATGCTTCCGCAGAGGAAGGGGAGCCAGCAGGCCAGAGGTGGATGAACGCAATGCCCTCGTTTGGGTGTAGGGACTGATCAGAGCCTGAAGGTATGGAGGTGCTGTTCCCCTCACAGCTCCATAGGCAAGCACCATGGTCTTGTAACAGATGCGAGCTTCAACTGGAAGCCAGTGGAGTGTGCGGAGGAGGGGGGTGACGTGAGAGAACTTGGGAAGGTTGAACACCAGACGGGCTGCGGCATTCTGGATGAGTTGTAGGGGTTTAATGGCACAGGCAGGGAGCCCAGCCAACAGCGAGTTGCAGTAATCCAGACGGGAGATGACAAGTGCCTGGATTAGGACCTGTGCTGCTTCCTGTGTAAGGCAGGGTCGTACTCTCCGAATGTTGTAGAGCATGAACCTACAGGTTCGGGTCACCGCCTTGATGTTAGCGGAGAACGACAGGGTGTTGTCCAGGGTCACGCCAAGGCTCTTCGCACTCTGGGAGGAGGACACAACGGAGTTGTCAACCGTGATGGCGAGATCATGGAACAGGCAGTCCTTCCCCGGGAGGAAGAGCAGCTCCGTCTTGCCAAGGTTCAGCTTGAGGTGGTGATCCGTCATCCATACTGATATGTCTGCCAGAGATGCAGAGATGCGATTCGCCACCTGGTTATCAGAAGGGGGAAAGGAGAAGATTAGTTGTGTGTCGTCAGCATAGCAATGATAGGAGAGGCCATGTGAGGATATGACAGAGCCAAGTGACTTGGTGTATAGCGAGAATAGGAGAGGGCCTAGAACTGAGCCCTGGGGGACACCAGTGGTGAGAGCACGTGGTGCGGAGACAGCTTCTCGCCACGCCACTTGGTAGGAGCGACCGGTCAGGTAGGACGCAATCCAAGAGTGAGCCGCGCCGGAGATGCCCAGCTCAGAGAGGGTGGAGAGGAGGATCTGATGGTTCACAGTATCAAAGGCAGCAGACAGGTCTAGAAGGACAAGAGCAGAGGAGAGAGAGTTAGCTTTAGCAGTGCGGAGAGCCTCCGTGACACAGAGAAGAGCAGTCTCAGTTGAATGACCAGTCTTGAAACCTGACTGGTTTGGATCAAGAAGGTCATTCTGAGAGAGATAGAAAGAGAGTTGGCTAAAGACGGCACGCTCAATAGTTGGAGAGAAAAGAAAGAAGGGATCCTGGTCTGTAGTTGTTGACATCAGAGGGATCAAGTGTAGGTTTTTTGAGAAGGGGTGCAACACTCGCTCTCTTGAAGACGGAAGGGACATAGCCAGCGGTCAAGGATGAGTTGATCAGCGAGGTGAGGTGGGGGAGAAGGTCACCGGAGATGGTCTGGAGAAGAGAGGAGGGGATAGGGTCAAGCGGGCAGGTTGTTGGGCGGCCTGCAGTCACAAGTCGCAAGATTTTATCTGGAGAGAGAGGGGAGAAAGAAGTCAAAGCATAGGGTAGGGCAGTGTGAGCAGGACCAGCAGTGTCATTTGACTTAACAAACGAGGATCGGATGTCGTCAACCTTCTTTTCAAAGTGGTTGACGAAGTCATCCACAGAGAGGGGGGGGGGGGGGGATTCAGCAGGGAGGAGAATGTGGCAAAGAGCTTCCTAGGGTTAGAGGCAGATGCTTGGAATTTAGCGTGGTAGAAAGTGGCCTTAGCAGCAGAAACAGATGAAGAAAATGTAGAGAGGAGGGAGTGAAAAGATGCCAGGTCCGCGGGAGTCTAGTTTTCTTCCATTTCCGCTCAGCTGCCCGGAGCTCTGTTCTGTGAGCTCGCAATGAATCATCAAGCCACGGAGCTGGAGGGGAGGACCGAGCCGGCCGGGAGGATAGGGGACATAGAGAGTCAAAGGATGCAGAAAGGGAGGAGAGGAGGGTTGAGGAGGCAGAATCAGGAGATTGGAGGGAGAAGGATTGAGCAGAGGGAAGAGATGATAGGATGGAAGAGGAGAGAGTAGAGGGAGAGAGAGAGCGAAGGTTGCGACGGCGCATTACCATCTGTGTAGGGGCAGAGTGAGTAGTGTTGGAGGAGAGCGAGAGAGAAAAGGATACAAAGTTGTGGTCGGAGACATGGAGGGGAGTTGCAGTGAGATTAGTAGAAGAACAGCATCTAGTAAAGATGAGGTCAAGCGTATTGCCTGCCTTGTGAGTAGGGGGGGACGTTGAGAGGGTGAGGTCAAAAGAGGAGAGGAGTGGAAAGAAGGAGGCAGAGAGAAATGAGTCAAATGTAGACATAGGGCGGTTGAAATCCCCCAGAACTGTGAGGGGTGAGCCATCCTCAGGAAAGGAACTTATCAAGGCGTCAAGCTCATTGATGAACTCTCCAAGGGAACCTGGAGGGCGATAGATGACAAGGATATTAAGCTTAAATGGGCTAGTGACTGTGACAGCATGGAATTCAAATGAGGAGATAGACAGATGGGTTAGGGGAAAAATTGAGAATGTCCACTTGGGAGAGATTAGTTCCTGTGCCACCACCCCGCTGACCAGATGCTCTCGGGGTATGCGAGAACACATGGTCAGACGAGGAGAGAGCAGTAGGAGTAGCAGTGTTTTCAGTGGTAATCCATGTTTCCGTCAGCGCCAAGAAGTCGAGGGACTGGAGGGTAGCATAGGCTGGGATGAAGTCTGCCTTGTTGGCAGCAGAACGGCAGTTCCAGAGGCTGCCTGAGACCTGGAACTCCAGGTGGGTGGTGCGTGCAGGGACCACCAGGTTAGAGAGGCAGCAGCCACGCGGTGTGAGGCGTTTGTGTAGCCTGTGCGGAGAGGAGAGAACAGGGATAGGCAGAGGCATAGTTGACAGGCTGCAGCAAATGGCTACAATAATGCAGAGGAGATCGAAATGAAATGAACTAAACATCTGGGAAAGGAGAGAGCGGGGCCTCCCTCAGCACAACTCCCAAATATAACCCAAATATAATAAAATACTCTCACAAGCTAGTGAAACCCTCCAGTGTTATATAAAACACTAGGTATTAATATATTAACAGTGTCTGTGTGTATGTGTGTGTGTGCGCGCATGCGTGTGTGTTTGTGCATGTGTGCAGTGCTATCCTGGGGTGTAGGAGCTCTATGCGTGGTGTGTGTGTGTCTGGTGTTGTCATGCTGTTTGTGTGTGTGGAGGAAATGCCTGAAGAAGAAAGACAAGGACACAGATAAGGAGAAGAAGAAGAAGGGTAAGAACGGCTTGAACACGGACACTGAGCTGGAGGGAGGCAACTCTGAGGTACCCACACACACACACATATTGCGTAGTATCAACTCTCTGTGGAGGGCTGCACACAAACTTTTAATAAATAGCGTGGCGTAAAGCAACTTAAGCTGTGTATGTCTGCTGGTTAGTGTGTATCAAGTTTTGCCGTTTGTTTGTGTGTGTGTCCTGTAGCCCCTGACGGATGAGGGTGACACAGAGACTGGATTGACTGGCAGGGAGGAGGAGCCTAAAGAGGAAGTGAAGTTGGGCAGACTGGAGTTCTCATTGGACTACAACTTCACAGAGAACACGGTGAGAACTCCTTGTTCGATACTGCTCTAACACACAACATGTCCTGCAGAGCAGAAGATTAACCAGTCTGAGTAACAACATATCATTCCATCAGACATACGCTATAGCTGTGAGTGAATTCTCGCTCCCTCTCCCTCTCTCTGTCTTTCCTTCCTCTTTCCTCACCCTCTCCTCTCCCTACCCTCTGCCCCCCTTTCCCGTCTATAGATGGTAGTAGGTATCCTGCAGGCTTGTGATCTCCCAGCCATGGATGTGGGGGGAAGTTCAGACCCGTATGTTAAACTCTACCTGCTGCCAGACAAAAAGAGGAAGTTTGAGACTAAAGTCCACAGGAAGACACTCAACCCAACCTTCAATGAGACTTTCACCTTCAAGGTAGCCTAACCCTGACCCCTGATCCCCGACCTCTGACCTCAAAACCCTAACCGTGACCCCACATTCAACAATGTTGTTGTGTGTGTGTCTGTGTGCATGCGTGCGTGTGTGTGTGTGTGCATACTGTATGTGTGTGAGTAGGTACTGTACAGTGAGCTGGGAGGCAGGACTCTGGTGATGACAGTGTATGACTTTGACCGTTTCTCTAAACACGACGCGATTGGAGCACTACGAGTACCAATGAGCAGCCTGGACTTCAGTCAGATGACACAGGAGTGGCGGGAGCTGAAGAAGGCAGAGAAAGAGGAGGTGAGAATGGAGAGACTAGGAGGATAGATAGAGTAAAAAAGAGAGAAGGAAGAAAGATATAGGAAAGAAAGTCACAAAGCACTTAACTCCACAAAATGAAACAAATAATTCAACAGAAATAACAAAACAAAAATGTCAGTACTCCCCTCCCATTCCTCTTGCCCTCTCTCTCACCCTCCCTCTCTTTCACCCTCCCTCTCCCTCTCTCACCCTCCCTCTCCCTCTCTCTTCCCCTCGACCCTTTCTCTCTCTCTCCAGTCAGAGCAGCTGGGTGATATCTGTCTGTCTCTGAGGTACGTTCCTACAGCAGGGAAACTAAGCATTGTCGTCCTCGAGGCCAAAAACCTAAAGAAGATGGACGTAGGAGGACTGTCAGGTGAGCTGAGGGGTGTGTGTGTGTGAGAGAGAGAGACAGAGAGAGACAGAGAGAGAGAGAGAGAGTGTGTGTGTGTGTGTGTGTTAGGCTTATCTCTGTCTCTTCTGTTAGACCCCTATGTAAAGATCCACCTACTGCAGAATGGAAAAAGACTGAAGAAGAAGAAAACCAGCATCAAGAAGAACACTCTCAACCCTTACTACAACGAGTCCTTCAGCTTTGAGGTGCCCTTCGAACAGATACAGGTACACTCACACACACACACACACAACCCCCCCCCCCCCCACACACACACACACTCTCTCTCTCTCTCTCTCTCTCTCTCTCCCTCGCTCTCACTCATCCCTTACAATGAATTCCTTTATCATTTATCGACCCTTCGAGCAGAGGTCTGTCTGTGTTTATCTGTGTGTAGAAGGTGCAGGTAGCAGTGACAGTGTTGGACTATGATAAGATTGGGAAGAATGATGCCATCGGGAAGGTGTTTCTGGGCGGAGCCAGCAGCGGCACAGAGCTCCGTCATTGGTCAGACATGCTGGCCAACCCCCGCCGGCCCATCGCCCAATGGCATGGCCTCAAAGCAGAGGACGAAGTCAACGCTGAACTGGCTGCCAGGAAGTGATGTCACGTTACTAGGCAGCTCTCTGTAGCAGACTGACTTTGCCCTCCTACCCACCACAGGAGGTTGGTGGCACCTTAATTGGGGAGGACGTGCTCGTGGTAACGGCTGGTGCGGAATCAGTGGAATGGTATCAAATACATCAAACACATGGTTTCCAGGTGTTAGATGCCATTCCATTCACTCCGTTCCGACCATTATTATGAGCTGTCCTCCCCTCAGCAGCCTTCACTGCTACCCACTTACCAACTCCAAAATACCTGATTCCCATCCACCACTCATGAACCCCCATCAGCAAACCCACTCCTTAACCCCCCAATACTTCACTGGTATGCAACCCTATCAAGCCTTACTCAACCCCCACTAACTTCCTAACCCCCAATACTACCACTCGTGCTCCCCCAAACCCCTTCCTCTACTGTTTGAAGTATTTAAGACACATTACGTATCTAGGACAATAACATGTATATCATGATAATACTATTAAACATGTACATTATACTATGTTATTAAACATTCAGAGAATTTTGCTGATGTCTCAGCTGGTAGAGCACGGCGCTTGTAACGCCAAGGTAGTGGGTTCGATCCCCGGGACCACCCATACACAAAAATGTATGCACGCATGACTGTAAGTCGCTTTGGATAAAAGCGTCTGCTAAATGGCATATTATTATTATTATTATGTCCATTTTCACTGATATCAGATAGGCCTACATCACCGGCCAGCAGAGGGAGACAAAGTCTTACACACACACACACACACACACACACACACACACACACACACATACAGCACCAGTCAAAAGTTTGGACACACCTACTCATGCAAGGGTTTTTCTTTATTTTTCTATATTGTAGAATAATAGTGAAGACATCAAAACTATGAAATAACATATATGGAATCATGTAGTAACCAAAAAAGTGTTAAACAAATCAAAATATATTTTATATTTGAGATTCTTCAAATAGCCACCCTTTGCCTTGATGACAGCTTTGCACACTCTTGGCATTCTCTCAACCAGCTTCACCTGGAATGCTTTTCCAACAGTCTTGAAGTTCCCACACATGTTTAGCACTTGTTGGCTGCTTTTCCTTCACTGTGCCGTCCGACTCAACCCAAACCATCTCAATTGGGTTGAGGTCGGGGTATTGTGGAGGCCAGGTCATCTGATGCAGCAATCCATCACTCTCCTTCTTGGTAAAATAGCCCTTACACAGCATGGAGGTGTGTTGGGTCATTGTCCTGTTGAAAAACAAATGGTAGTCCCAATAAGCCCAAAACAGATGGGATGGCATATCGCTGCAGAATGCTGTGGTAGCCATGCTGGTTAAGTGTGCCTTGAATTCTAAATAAATCACAGACAGTGTCACCAGCAAAGCACCCCCACACCATAACACCTCCTCCTCCATGCTACACGTTGGGAACTACACATGCGGAGATCATCCGTTCACCCACACCTCGTCTCACAAAGACACGGCGGTTGGAACCAAACATCTCTAATTTGGACTCCAGACCAAAGGACACATTTCCACTGGTCTAATGTCCATTGCTCAAGCAGTTCTCTTCTTCTTATTGGTGTCCTTTAGTAGTGGTTTCTTTGCAGCAATTCGACCATGAAGGCCTGATTCACACAGTCCCCTCTGAACAGTTGATGTTGAGATATGTCTGTGACTTGAACTCTGTGAAGCATTTATTTGGGCTGTAATTTCTGAGGCTGGTAACTCTAATGAACTTATCCTCTGCAGCAGAGGTAACTCTGGATCTTTCATTCCTGTGGTGGTCCTCATGAGAGCCAGTTTCATCATAGCGCATGATGGTTTTTGCAACTGCACTTTCTTCAAGTTCTTGACATTTTCCGTATTGACTGACCTTCATGTCTTAAAGTAATGGACTGTCATTTCTCTTTGCTTATTTGAGCTGTTCTTGCCATAATATGGACTTGGTCTTTTACCAAATAGGGCTATCTTCTGTATTACTTTTGACTAGTAGTGTATACAATCTCATTTATAATTTAATTAAAGTTGAATTACTGACAATCATACAGATTAAGTCTCTAAAGTAAGACTAGATTTGTAATCATAAGTAGGGCCTACAGTCAATTCATTTGTTGCATTTGTGTCCTAAACTCAGAGAATCTTTCTTACTTGCTGGTAGCCTGCTATTCTCCTGTGGATACTGCAATCCGGAATCCTTGGGACGTCCATACCCATACCCTAACCTTAACCCCTACCCTTAACCTTAACCATAACCCTTACCTAACCCTAACCTTACTTTAACCATTTTAAATGTCAACTTCAATGGGGTAGGGACAGTGGTGGGAAAAGTACCCAATTGTCATACTTGTGTAAAAGTAAAGTTACCTTAGAAAATGACTTAAGTCAAAGTCAAAGTCACCCAGTAAAATACTACTTGAGCAAAAGTCTAAAAATATTTGGTTTTAAATATACTTAAGTATCAAAAGTAAAAGTATAGCGGATAGCCAGGGGCATACTCCAACACTCATTTACAAACTATGAATTTGTGTTTAGTGAGTCCGCCAGATCAGAGGCAGTAGGGATGACCATGGATGTTCTCTTGATAAGTGCTTGAATTGGACCAGTTTCCTGTCCTGCTAAGCATTCAAAATGAGTACTTTTGGGTGTCAAGAAAAATGTATGGAGTAAAAAGTACATTATTTCCTTCAGGAATGTAGTGAAGTAAAAGCAAAACAATTCATAAATATTAATAGTAAAGTACAGATTCCCCAAAAAACTACTTAAGTAGTACTTTAAAGTATTTTTACTTAAGTACTTTACACCACTGGGTAGGGACGTCCGGATAGCAATAGCAAGGCCCATTCTCTTGCGCACCGAGAGTTGCGGTATTTCCTTCCTTTCAGTCGGTTTGATGTCACCTGTTTGGCACAAAAACCATGCACACACACCCCCGGCACCTGCGCGCAGGTGCACTCGTGCACTCCTCATCCTTCCGAGGGGCTCGCTCAACTCTGTGCGCGTGGACGTGAACCGCGGGAAGTCCGGTAACGAACAGAGAAATCCTCCTCTACTCCCCGGTCTGTCCTGTGAAATGTTCCGTTAACCTCCCGGTGGATGAGCTCTGAGATGAACGGTCCACGTAGAGTAGTACTGGCTCTTCTTTCGTGGTGTTCTGTTCTCCAGCTGCTGACAGCACACGGTGAGTCTCCCAGCGACACACGCGCATCATATCACAATTCATAACTTTTACAGATGACTACCTTTTACTGTTTCAACATAAACGTTTGACATTCTAAGAGTGATTCCAAAAATGTCAAAGAGAGACCAGAAAACTAGGACCAGCGTTGTATGCGCGAGACATTTTTGAAAAGTTTATATTTTGCGGTTTTAACCTTACGAAATATCGGATGATAGGCACATTTTACTGTTCCGGTTTGAAATGTGGGTTTCAACCCCCCGCAGTGACATCGTTATGGCCTTGTGGAAATATGATTGACAAATGTTTTCCTTTGGATAGGAATACATTAGAGCTGATACTGTCTTGTAAATCATTCAGCGGTGTAGCCTAAATTGTTGCTGTTCAATAAAGTGCCCCAGTGCCCCTAAATTATAACGTTTAAATGAATACATTTGAGATGTTTTGTCTACTTGTGGTAGATATGTGATGATATTTTATGTGTTGTGATAGTGCAATGAAATAGTAATTTTGATGGTGTGTGAGGTTTTAGTGATGGTTGTTTGTTGTGTTCAGCAGCTCAGACCCAACTGACAGAGACAGACAGTAGACTACAGAGGTAAGAGTATGAAAAATGTATGCACTCACTAACTGTAAGTCTGCTAAATGACTAAAATGTAAAATGTAAATGTAAGAGAGGAGAGGAAGAAAGAAAGATTCATCATCTTTGTGGATTCATTCATTCAATGTCATGGCCAAGCTGATGCTTGTGCGTGTTTGGTTTGGCTGTATTCAAATGGTCTAAAGTGCACTTCACTTCAGTTTGCACGTTTGTCCTCATAATGAATGTCTATCTCCCTGTGTGTGTGTGTATGTGTATATGTGTGTGTGTGTGTGTGTGTGTGTGTGTGTGTGTGTGTGTGTGTGTGTGTGTGTGTGTGTGTGTGTGTGGGTGGGTGCGTGCGTGCAGGAGGGCTAATGCACTGCGGAGGAAACGGGATCTCCTAGGGGAGGAGGTAGGTACACTATACCTAAGAGAAGCAGGAGGTCAGGGCACACACACAACACCCTGACTAGCACAAAGACGCCTTTGTAGGACACACACACACACACACACACACACACATACACATACATACACTGGTGCAACTACACACTGGGGTAGAGATACACATATACTACACACGCTATACAGACAGCGTGACAAATTCACAAACTGGGACAGGTAGGTTTGTGTGTTTGTGCATGTGTGTGTGATCATCAGTGTTCTCTCCTCTCTAGACATTCAGTCCTCTTCTCTCTGAAGCCACTCTCCCACGCAGTGTTCTACACAATTACACCGCCCGCGATGCCTCCTCAGGTACACACACACACACACACACACACACACACACACACACACACACACACACACACACACACACACACACACACACACACACACACACACACACACACACACACACACACACACACACACACACACACACACACACACACACACACACACACACAAACACACAGTGCCTTTAGAAAATATTCACACCCCTAGACACAATACCCCATAGTGTCAAAGTGTAATTATGCTTTTAGACATTTTTACAAATTAATAAAAAATGAAAAGCTGAAATGTCTTGAGTCAATAAGTATTCCATCCCTTTATTATGGCAAGCCTAAATAAGTTCAGGAGTAAAAATGTAATGGCTGTGATAGGAGAAAACTGAGGATGGATCAACAACATTGTAGTTACTCCACAATACTAACCTAAATGACAGAGTGAAAATAAGGAAGCCTGTCAGAATACAAATATTCCAAAACATGCGTCCTGTTTGTGCTAAGGCACTAAAGTAAAACTACAAAAAATATGGCTAAGCGTTATGTTTGGGGCAAATCCAACAAATCACTGAGTACCACTCGTCATGTTTTCAAGCATGGTGGTGACTGCATCATGTTATGGGTATACTTGTCATCGGCAAGGACTAGGGAATTTTTTGGGATAAAAATAAATGGAATAGAGCTAATCACAGGCAAAATCCTGGAGGAAACCCTGGTCCAGTCTGCTTTCCAACAGACACTGGGAGACAAATTCACCTTTCAGCAGGACAATAACTTAAAACACAAGGCCAAATATACACTGGAGTTGCTTACCAAGAAGACATTGGATGTTCCTGAGTGGCCTAGTTAAAGTTTTGACTTGAATTGGCTTGAAAATCTATGGCTGTCTAGCAATGATCAACAACCAATTTTAAAAAGTATAATGTGCAAATGTTGTACAATCCATGTGTGCAAAGCGTTTAAGAGACTTATCCAGAAAGGCTCACAGCTAAAGGTGATTCTAACATGTATTGACTCAGGGGTGTGAATACTTTCTATATTTCATTTTCAATGAATGTGCAAAAAAATATAAAAACATTTAATCCATTTTGAATTCAGGTTGTATCACAACAAAATGTGGAATAAGTCAAGGGGTATGAATACTTTCCGAAGGCACTCTACATTGGAATGCAGTGGATGTAAAATAACATGCTGTACATGACGTCAGAGCTTGGGGTCTCCGCATTAAGGCAACCTATGGGATTCAACTGACAGATGTTCTAAACGAGAGCACCAGCCACAAGAAGAAAATGCCCCCATCCCTACCGCTAATTGGGTTACTTTTGCTAATGTTTTGTTGTCTGAGTGAGGGGAATGCTGTAAATCAAGAGGACTCGATGTGTTCTGAAAGATGAGACATTTAAAATTATAATAAATCCCACTTGATATCATCAAAGCAAACCACACACGAGTCCAGATTTGCACTTCACATTTCCATATTATAAAACTCATGTCATTTACAGTATCAACGTTTATGATCGCTACATTTTATGTACAGTTACAAGGATGACATGGTGTCATACTCTGGCCTGTTCTGAACAGAATGAGTCTATGTTTGTCATATTGTGAAGGAAAATAGCCACGGAAAAAACATATGAATGTACTCATGACTCCATTCTACGTGCACCAAAATCACTATCTGTTTCTTTGAAGTGCCTTATGAAAGCCTAACAGTATATATTCATATTATGTTACTACATGTATCCAGAGTATCTTCTGATTTCGTTGTTGACAAATACTGTGAAAAGTACAGTTAATGTAAAATATACATAAAATCAACAGTGTAATGTTTGGATTCAGTCTTGTGTCAGGTGAACTGTTGTGTCCTTATCTTTGGTCTGATAATTTCTCCATAATCTCCAGTGTTCCCTTTCAATTGCTACCATGGTTGTGCATATGCTACTCATATTTCTTCTGTTAGAAACATTTTAATTTGGCCCTATCCATATTGGCCAATTCTCACAAGTGTAAAGGGTTAAAGCAATCTGTCTTATAAAGAATAAGTTATTCATCTATTGGTGAATCTAAAAGTATTTCCAGAGAAGATGTAAGGAATTGAGGAAAGATTGTGTCTGTGTTTCAACAGAGTACTGCGGCTGTCTGAATGGGGGCTGGTGTCAGGAGGGAGGTGTGTGTGACTGTGCACAGTTCCAGGCCCTCGGAGACCGCTGCCAGATCAGTGAGTAACACACACACATCTTGAACCTAGAACCACAATGTATGTTTCATTTTGGTGTGTGTGTGTGCCTGCATGAGAGTCAGACTGACACATCCATCAGCAACCATTAATAAGCTGTCCACACTGTCATAAAAAAACCACACACACACAGGCACGCACACATACACTCACATACACACACTCACCAGTCCATAGTGTGTGAAGTCTGGAGGATTAGGGTTGAGTTTCTGTAGACTACACAGGGTCTCTATACATCAGAGATGGGTCTCTAGTAGAGCCTCTATAGTAATACCTTGCCTGAGACCTGAAGTAGTGTTTCCTTCACCCAACCACCATGATTTGGTGGCGCGATGGTAAGCACACTAGTGTCAGGAATATGAAGTGTTGCTTTTCGGGTTCTCGTCCTGGGTGTGGCAGACAGGGAGGAACTCTGTTACACACTGTTCCTGTCAACCAAGTACCTACCTGGCTAAAGTCCCACCAGAGCACCAACACTGTTAGACAGTGGGTCTAGTTGGCTGGGAATGGCAGAGAGACGGGGGTTTCCTGTAACTAAGCGGCTTTTAGTGAGCTGGCACTGTGGGCAACCCCCCCCCCCCTCTCCATTGCCTCCTACAGACAAACACACACACCAGTGCACCTTCAAGCCGATTCAGAGTTGAGATAAGCGTGCACAACTCAGAGTGTGTGTGTGTGTGTGTGTGTGCGTGCATGTAGTTCCTAACCAGGGCCAGGACAGAGATGGGATCTGCAGGTCTTGGGGTCAGCACCACTATGAGACGTTCGATGGCAGCTACTTCTACTACCCTGGAACCTGCTCCTACATACTGGCCCAGGACTGCCGCTCAGCCACACCACAGTACACTGTGTGGGTCCATAACAGCCGTGTGTGTGAGGGCAGTGTGTACTCCTGTCCCAGGGCTCTCAGTCTCTTCTTCCCCAACGAGGAGGAGATCCACATCTCTGGATACCAAGTCCACCAGGGGGGCCGCAGGTGGGTGGGCTATGGAGGAATGTGTATGTGTTCTGTTGTAATGTGTGTGTGTATGCTTTATGCTAATGTGCGTGTGTGTGCCTGTGTGCGTGCGTGTGTACAGAGATGGGCAGTATTTTGTAAATTGAATTACACTCTAATGTATTTTGTATTTTCTAAATACTCTAATTTGTATTTTCAGAATACAAAATAAATGATATACATTTTTTTTTTATAGAGGTTCATATTTTGTGGCCGCCCTTTCGCCCTGCATTGGTATCAGAAGTCTGATAGCACTAGGGTGTGATAAAAGCATGTGCTAAATGAACTAAATATAAATGCTTATGTAAAAATTAACAATTGAATAGCATGTTGAGTATTATTCTAATAAGCTCCGCCCGAAACAATACACAGTGTGCTTTGCAGTTATTTTTGGTATGTTCATTTTCACATATACATTTACATTTTGGTCATTTAGCAGACACACGTATCCAGAGTGACTTGCTCAACTAAGGTAGTTAAACAACAACATATCACAGTCATAGCCAGTAAAAACATTTTGTAACTGTTACTGAGAATGTGGTTGCTGTTCGGGCCGGCTACCTGCACATGTATTTTGTAGTTTATTTTGATACATTGATCTTTATGGTATTTTGTATCTGTATTTTATAATTGTATTTTGTAATTTATGCCCATCCCTGCGTGTGTGCGTAGGCTGAGCTTGCCCCAGACAATAGGAGGTGTGTTTATAGAGCGTCTGGCTGACTACCTTCTGGTGAAGAGTGTGTTTGGCTTCTCTCTGGCGTGGGACGGAGAGAGCGGAGTATATCTGAAGATGTCTGAACAGCACCACGGCACCCCCTGTGGCCTCTGCGGGAACTACAACAACCTGCCCAACGATGACCTCACCACTTCCCGCGGTGAGAGACACACACTCACTCACAACACTCACACACACCTCATCAAAGCCCACTGTAAGACTGGACAGACGGGTCCAACCAGCCTCTTATCCTCCTTCCTCCACACATCTCTTATCCTCTGTCTCAGCACCCAATCATCCCTCCATCACAACCTTTCTCCTCTCAGCACCACAGGGAACCATTATAGTTATTAATACTGAGGAGGAGGCCGTAGTCCTGTAACATGACCTAGACAGGAGAGGAGAGGAGAGAGGGAGAGGAGAAGAGAGGAGAGGAGAGAGGGAAGAGAGAGCAAAGGGGAAAGGAGAGCAGAGAGGAGAAGAGAAGGAGGAAAGGAGACAAGTGGAAAGCAGAGGAGAGGAGAAGAGAGGAAAGTAGAGCAGAGTGTAGCAGACAGTGGCGGTCAGTGCCGTTTAAGATGAGGGAGGACAAATTTTTTTCATGAGCATGCTCTTTTTCTATTACAGCACATTGGATGACTCTCATTCATATTCCATTCACCCAGTTCAATGTAACAGCGATAGGTTTAGGCTACTACATGATACTCACATTTTCCCTATACCCATCATGAGGTTGCTACAACCTAGCCTATGAATGAAAGTTTACAACTTAGGTGCACACAGGTCGAGAGACAAATTTGAGGTGACAGACCGACAGTGACATTCAATACCGCCTTGCCCACTCTTGCATCTAGCTGATCTAGGGTGTAACCATTAGCTCAACAGTTACAACAAGAGTTTCTATTGGACAAATTCAGATATGTTTATCCCCGTTTTGTTGCGTTTGCTTCCGTTTAAGAAACGTTTTTCAACAGAATCGGCGGAATGAATACACCCCTGATCACTCGTAAACACAGTTCACTCTCATAACAGCCACGTTGTATTTCTTCTCTTCTTTTCGCTTGTGGACTTCAATGCACCACACATCAGCTGTATGTGACCAGGCGAAAAAACCTTTCCAAGCCAAACCGCTACACACAGTCTACATCTTTGTCACCATATGCGTCATAGTCAGCATAGCTAATAGAACTAACGCGTTAGTAAACCCGCTACAATCATGCAGTAAAGTTAGTGTACAGTCAGTAAGCAGTTACACTGGCAGGCCCCGGTGACAATAAATTAGTAATACCAAAAGCTTACCTTGACTTGGAAGAGTTCCAGTGTTGTGTTGGAAAGTCATAGCCAGCTAGCTAACATAGCATCCCTCTGTTTGAGCAGGGTGTTTCAGTAGGCTAAACTAGCTAGCTGCATTTGCTAGCTAAGTAAGTGAAACTGAAAGTGAAAAAAAATGACAATCTCTCACTCTCTCTCTATTTCTCTCTTTTTCAAAACTGTTCAGCTATTGTCTTTCTTTCTCTTTGAGTCAACTACTCACCACATTTTATACACTGCAGTGCTAGCTAGATGTAGCTTATGCTTTCAGTACTAGATTAATTCTCTGTTCCTTTGATTGGGTGGACAACATGTCAGTTCATGCTGCAAGAGCTCTGATAGGCTGGAGGACATCCTCCGGAAGTTGTCATAATTACTGTGTAAGTCTATGGAAGGGGGTGAGAACCATGAGCCTCCTATGTTTTGTATTGAAGTCAATGTACCCAGAGGAGGATGGAAGCTAGCTGTCCTCCGGCTACACCATGGTATTACCCTACAGAGTGCTGTTGAGGCTACTGTAGACCTTCTTTGCAAGTAGTATGTTTTAATCAGTTATTTGGTGACGTGATTATATTTAGTATAGTTTTATCTAAAAAGGATAACTTTTTAAATGTTTTACAATTTACATTTTTATGAAATTCCCTGAGGAGGATGGTCCTCCCCTTCCTCCTATGAGGAGCTTCCACTAGTAGCAGAGGAGATAAGTTATTTTAATATACAGTCATTATACAGTTATTCTATTATATTGGATTATTTTCAGGCATGTAGAGGAAGGATTCCTAACCGTGTGTGCGCGTGTTTCGTGTGTGTGTGTGTGTGTGTGTGTGTGTAGGTGTGCAGACAGAGGAGCCAGCAGTGTTTGCTAACAGCTGGTCAGTAGATCTGCCCCATGAGAGAGGCTGCCCTCTGGTGGACATAGTCTTCACTGGCCCCTGCCACTCTGAGTCTGACATGGACGTAAGAGCTGTCTGTCTGTGTCTGTATGTCTGTCTGTCTGTCTGTCTGTTTGGAACTTATTACTTGAACCTGGGTTGTCAGTGTGCCATAAGACTGTGCAATGATTTTCTGTGTTTTATTGTATTATGTTGATGTTTTTGTATGAGTGTGTGTGTGTGTGTTTGTGTGTGTGTGTGTGTGTGTGTGTGTAGGATGCCATAGAGAAGTGCAGTGCTCTCCTGTTCTTCCCCTTCCTGTCCTGTCATGATAACATTGATCCAAACCCCTACGTGGCCAGTTGTGTCTCCGACCTCTGTGTGTAAGTCACACCCCAGTGTGTGTGTGTGAGTGAGTGAGTGAATTGCCTGTCTTCTGTCTGACTGTAGTCTGACTGATTATTCTCTGACTGTTGTCTGACTATTGTCTGACTATTCTCTAAGTGTTGTCTCACTATTCTCTGACTGTTGTCTGAATATTGTCTGACTGTTCTCTGAATATTTTCTGAGTGTTGTCTGAGTGGTGTCTGAGTATTTCTGACTGTTGTCTGCTGTGATCCAGGTCTGATGATGAGGAGACGTTTTGTCGTGCGTTGGTGGAGTACACACGAGCCTGCAGTCATGTAGGATACCCTGTACGAGAGTGGAGAGACAGCTTCCCTTCCTGCAGTCAGTAACATTATACTAACCTAACTTAAAGATGCAGTCCGGGATCTTAACGGGAAATTTCCAAAATATTCTACTTCATATTCCTATTTTCCAGGACCACCCCAACATCAACATGTGTGAAGATGGTGTGTTTCTATGTTTTGTGGAAAAAAATAAATAGGAAGAAAAGTGTTTCCAATGACATCATCAGTGTGCATCATGTGATTTTAACCAATTATGAGTAGGCATTGCCTACTATTTGTCTACTAATTGGTTGATGATGTCATTGGAAACACTCATCTTCCTCTATCTTTTTTATTACAAAACATAGAAACGCGCAATTTTCACATGTACAGTGAGGGAAAAAAGTATTTGATCCCCTGCTGATGTTGTACGTTTGCCCACTGACAAAGAAATGATCAGTCTATAATTTTAATGGTAGGTTTATTTGAACAGTGAGAGACAGAATAACAACAACAAAAATCCAGAAAAACGCATGTCAAAAATGTTATAAATTGATTTGCATTTTAATGAGGGAAAGAAGTATTTGACCCCCTCTCAATCAGAAAGATTTCTGGCTCCCAGGTGTCTTTTATACAGGTAACGAGCAGAGATTAGGAGCTCCTAATCTCAGTTTGTTACCTGTATAAAAGACACCTGTCCACAGAAGCAATCAATCAATCAGATTCCAATCTCTCCACCATGGCAAAGACCAAAGAGCTCTCCAAGGATGTCATGGACAAGATTGTAGACCTACACAAGGCTGGAATGGGCTACAAGACCATCGCCAAGCAGCTTAGTGAGAAGGTGACAACAGTTGGTGCGATAATTCGCAAATGGAAGAAACACAAAAGAACTGTCAATCTCCCTCGGCCAGGGGCTCCATGCAAGATCTCACCTCGTGGAGTTACAATGATCATGAGAACGGTGAGGAATCAGCCCAGAACTACACGGGAGGATCTTGTCAATGATCTCAAGGCAGCTGGGACCATAGCCACCAAGAAAACAATTGGTAACACACTACGCCGTGAAGGACTGAAACCCTGCAGCGCCCGCAAGGTCCCCCTGCTCAAGAAAGCACATATACATGCCCGTTGGAAGTTTGCCAATGAACATCTGAATGATTAAGAGGAGAACTGGGTGAAAGTGGTGTGGTCAGATGAGACCAAAATGGAGCTTTTTGGAATCAACTCAACTCGCCGTGTTTGGAAGAGGAGGAATGCTGCCTATGACCCCAAGAACACCATCCCCACCGTCAAACATGGAGGTGGAAACATTATGCTTTGGGGGTGTTTTTCTGTTAAGGGGACAGGACAACTTCACCGCATCAAAGGGACGATAGACGGGGCCATGTACCGTCAAATCTTGGGTGAGAACCTCCTTCCCTCAGCCAGGGCATTGAAAATGGGTAGTGGGTGGGTATTCCAGCATGACAATGACCCAAAACACACAGCCAAGGCAACAAAGGAGTGGCTCAAGAAGAAGCACATTAAGGTCCTGGAATGGCCTAGCCAGTCTCCAGACCTTAATCCCATAGAAAATCTGTGGAGGGAGCTGAAGGTTCGAGTTGCCAGACGTCAGCCTCGAGACCTTAATGACTTGGAGAAGATCTGCAAAGAGGAGTGGGACAAAATCCCTCCTGAGATGTGTGCAAACCTGGTGGCCAACTACAAGAAACGTCTGACCTCTGTGATTGCCAACAAGGGTTTTGCCACCAAGTACTAAGTCATGTTTTGCAGAGGGGTCAATTACTTATTTCCCTCATTAAATTGCAAATCAATTTATAACATTTTTGACATGCGTTTTTCTGGATGTTTTTGTTGTTATTCTGTCTCTCACTGTTCAATTAAACCTACCATTAAAATTATAGACTGATCATTTCTTTGTCAGTGGGCAAACGTACAAAATCAGCAGGGGATCAAATACTTTTTTCCCTCACTGTATGTTGATGTTGGGGTGGTGCTGGAGATGATGACTATTAAGTAAAAAAAAAAAAATGTCCCTTTAAGCACAACTAATTCGTAACATATTGTACGAATTGGATTCGTTACATATCATACAAATTGCAAAGAATATTATAATAATAATATTTTGCATGACGTAACATATCATACGAAATAGATGACATAGTACATAATTGTACACAATAAACGGGAACCCGTTTTGGCTCGTTTGCACCACTTTTAAAACTACTAGCTGAAATGTTCTAAAAGTTCTAGAGCATAACATTAACCCCAACCTTTAACTAACAGTTAGCTAACTTATTACTACAGTAAGTTCTTCATTTGACTGTTCCTTAGATGATGGTTGTGAGGAGAGTTTTGTCCATAGAGACTGTATCAGCTGCTGTCCTCCCACCTGTACCTTTGACAAGGAGTGTCTGGGAACCAACTTGCACTGTCTGGACGGATGCTACTGCCCTGACGGTACACACAAACACACTTATACACACATGTCACACTCACAAACACACACACTCCATCTCACCCTCTGTGTGTCCGACTATTTTAGGGTTGATTCTACAGAATGGGACGTGTATAGCAGTGTCTCAGTGTCCTTGTGTCTACCACGGCACATCATACACACAGGGACACACTCTGGAGCAGGGCTGCAGCGTCTGGTGAGTGTGTGTGTGTGTGACTTGTGTGTGTGTTCGTGTGTGTGGGTGTGTTTGTGTGTCACTAACCTGTGGTGTATTTACAGTGTGTGTATGGGGGGAGTGTGGAACTGCACAGAGAACAACTGTACAGGTGAGCAAACTCTCAGGTCATATGATCAGAAACACATAAGCTGAACGATCCAGTGTCACACCTTTCAATGCCTGCCTGCCTGCCTTCTCTCTATCTCTCTCTCTCTCTCTCTCTCTCTCTCTCTCTCTCTCTCTCTCTCTCTCTCTCTCTCTCTCTCTCTCTCTCTCTCTCTCTCTCTCTCAGTGGAGTGTTCAGTAGTAGGTGATGTGTTTGTGACGTCGTTCGATGGGAGAATGTTCCTGCAACCGGGGACGTGTCAGTACGTCTTGGCTAAGAGCCGGATTGGCAGCAGATTCACTGTTACCGTTCAGTACACCACCTGCACAGAGGTAACACACACACAAACACACATTGCAGTATATCACCTTCACATAGGTAACACACACACAATCTGAAACAATCTTGTGTGTGTGTGTGTGTACAGGCCCAGCAGCAGGCGTGTATCCAGTCGGTGACAGTGGTACTGGATGAAAATGTTAGTCACCAGGTGACTCTGACCCGAGAGGGGGAGGTGCTTATAGGGGTCAACCCTGCTCCCACTTTGCCCTACACCGATGGTACGATACAGTCAACTTTATTGATACTCCTATCATTACTTCTTATAATATGCAGTATGATACGGTTAACATCAGGTAGCATGTATAGAGAGAACAGTAATGGTCCCAACACACAGCCTTGTGGAACACCTTATTTAACATCAAATGTAATATACGTTTATGTGTGTAGATGTAGTGGAGGTGCAGAGGCTAACGTCGGTGTTCGTCCAGCTGAGGACCTTGCTTGGACTGCGTCTGCAGTATGACGGGCGTGGTGGGCGTGTCTACCTACAACTGGACAGCCAATGGCGCGGGAACACGGTGGGCCTTTGTGGAACCTTCAACGGAAATCTGCGGGACGACTTCCTGTAAGGAAACTACTTCCTCTCATACTGACCCCTAAATGTCCTTTGGAGAAAAGGTTTTGGGCATTTTTATCTGAGGCAGTTGAGTAAAAGAGTATTACAGTAAGTATATTCATGACATTTGGCCTGTGTGTGTATAGTTCTCCAGCAGGCATGATAGAGGGGACTCCCCAGCTCCATGCTAACTCCTGGAGGGTCTCATCTGCTTGCTCCGCCCCCATCAACCAGCCAATCATCGACCCCTGTGAGATGAACCAGCACAACGGTAACCTCTCACCCCTGACCTCAAAACTCTAACCCTGACCTCCATTGACTGCTTGAAATATCTTAATGTTTTGCTGCAGCTATATCCTCTCAAAAGCTGAGAAGTGTGTGTGTGTGTTACAGTGTTCTACGCCTCTCTGTGTGAGGTGTTGATGGGGAGTGTGTTTGCTCCCTGCCATGGTTACGTCAGTCCTAGTGTGTACCAGCAACAGTGTCGCTACCAGGCCTGTCGCTGTGGAAATGCCTGTCTGTGTACGGCCCTGGCCCACTACACTTACCTCTGCTCCAAACACCATGTTGCTGTCAACTACAGGGCCCACGTCTCAGAGTGTGGTGAGTCTGGGCAGTGGAGAGCCGGAGAATGATGTGTCTGTGTGTAGCGGTGGTGTGTCTACACTGTAGAAAGTGTAATTTTTACAGTAAATTACTGGCAGCACAGTAGCCAGTAGGTTACTGTACATTTACAGTAAAATACTGGCAGCACAGAAGCCAGTAAATTACTGTAGATTTACAGGACCTTTTCTGAAACACTAATTTACAGCATATTACTGTAACACCTGACTACAGCAACATGCTGTATTTTTAGAATTTACAGTGCATTACTGGAAGCACAGTGGTTAGTAAACTATTGCAGATTTACAGTGAAGGCAACTAGTCCCAACGATGGGCAGTATTTCTGTTACGTTGTATTTGATATACAGTGAGCTCCAAAAGTATTGGGACAGTGACAATTTTGTTGTTGTTTTGGCTCTGTACTTCAGCACTTTGGATTTGAAATGATACAATAACTATGAGGTTAAAGTGCAGACTGTCAGCTTTATTTTGGGGGTATTTCCATCCATATCGGGTGAACCGTTTAGAAATTACAGCACTTTATGTACATAGTCCCCCCATTTTAGGGGACCAAAAGTATTGGGACAATTTCACTTTATATGTGTATTAAAGTAGTAAAAAGTTAAGTATTTGGCCCCATATTCATAGCACGCAATGACTACATCAAGCTTGTGACTCTACAAATTTGTTGGATGCATTTGCTGTTTGTTTTGGTTGTGTTTCATATTATCTTGTGCCCAGTAGAAATGAATGGTAAATAATGTATTGCGTCATTTTGTAGTCGCTTTTATTGTAAATAAGAATACAATATGTTTCTTAACACTTCTACATTATTGTGAATGAATCCTGAATAATGATGAGTGAGAAAGTTACAGAGGCATAAATATTATACCCCCCCCCCCCCCCAAAAAAAAATGCTAACCTCCCCTGTTATTGTAATGATGAGAGGTTAGCATGTCTTGGGGGTAGGATATTTGTGCGTCTGTAACTTTCTCACTCATCATTATTCTAGAGGCCTAAACAAAGGCTTCCAAACTGGCCGTGATTACAGGGCAAAACAGACCAAAAGGACTTGGAAAAAACACAAAACCAGCAAAGGTTTAAGACTTGCTGCCACTCTGGTCATATACACATTAAATTGTTAGGGCACTACTACCACATACTGTATCAGTTCAATTGGTACAGCATTCTCACTAACTTACAAGGCACGCCTCAAAATATGTTAATGAGCCAGCTATTCTTTCCCCTCCCACAAAACATGTCCACAATGCACCATAATTTACAGAATGCTGCAATACATATACAACAAAACAGCAATAAAGTACTTTATTGTTCAATTGTATTGTAATAAAATTACAGCAATTACCAACAGTGAATATATAATAATATTTTACAGCAGCAGCATACCAATGAATATTTGGTGTTTTATATCACTTGCACTTGTAGTGCCCTTAACAAAGGCATCTAAACTGGCAGTGACTACAGGGCAAAACAGATCAAAAGAACATGGCTAAACACTAGTGAAGTTAGGTTTGATACCGGAGCTCCGAGGCATGCGTCGAAATCGCTAAGCAGCTAACTTTGAAGCAGTGTGCCGATGCATGTATCACTTAATCAGAAGTACGTCTTCGATGACGTCCGAAGCTTCGTTTGATCACGTGCTTTTTCAAACTGTCTTGCAAAATGCGAGATCCCACTGATTTCACCATAGTTGCTTTCTTCGATTAAAAGCTGCTTTCAAACAGTGGGGAGAACAAGTATTTTATACACTGCCGATTTTGCAGGTTTTCCTACTTACAAAGCATGTAGAGGTCTGTAATTTGTATCATAGGTACACTTCAACTGTGAGAGACGGAATCTAAAACAAAAATACAGAAAATCACATTGTATGATTATTAAGTAATTAATTTGCATTTTATTGTGCATGACGTAAGTATTTGATCACCTACCAACCAGTAAGAATTCCGGCTCTCACAGACCTGTTAGTTTTTCTTTAAGAAGCCCTCCTGTTCTCCACTCATTACCTGTATTAACTGCACCTGTTTGAACTCGTTACCTGGATAAAAGACACCTGTCCACACACTCAATCAAACAGACTCCAACCTCTCCACAATGGCCAAGACCAGAGAGCTGTGTAAGGACATCAGGGATAAAATTGTAGACCTACACAAGGCTGGGATGGGCTACAGGACAATAGGCAAGCAGCTTGGTGAGAAGGCAACAACTGTTGGCGCAATTATTAGAAAATGGAAGAAGTTCAAGATGACGGTCAATCACCCTCGGTCTGGGGCTCCATGCAAGATCTCAACTCGTGGGGCATCAATGATCATGAGGAAGGTGAGGGATCAGCCCAGAACTACACGGCAGGATCTGGTCAATGACCTGAAGAGAGCTGGGACCACAGTCTCAAAGAAAACCATTAGTAACACACTACGCCGTCATGGATTAAAATCCTGCAGCGCACGCAAGGTCCCCCTGCTCAAGCCAGCGCATGTCCAGGCCCGTCTGAAGTTTGCCAATGACCATCTGGATGATCCAGAGGAGGAATGGGAGAAGGTCATGTGGTCTGATGAGACAAAAATATAGCTTTTTGGTCTAAACTCCACTCGCCGTGTTTGGAGGAAGAAGAAGGATGAGTACAACCCCAAGAACACCATCCCAACCGTGAAGCATGGAGGTGGAAACATCATTCTTTGGGGATGCTTTTCTGCAAAGGGGACAGGACGACTGCACCGTATTGAGGGGAGGATGGATGGGGCCATGTATCGCGAGATCTTGGCCAACAACCTCCTTCCATCAGTAAGAGCATTGAAGATGGGTCGTGGCTGGGTCTTCCAGCATGACAACGACCCGAAACACACAGCCAGGGCAACTAAGGAGTGGCTACGTAAGAAGCATCTCAAGGTCCTGGAGTGGCCTAGCCAGTCTCCAGACCTGAACCCAATAGAAAATCTTTGGAGGGAGCTGAAAGTCCGTATTGCCCAGCGACAGCCCCGAAACCTGAAGGATCTGGAGAAGGTCTGTATGGAGGAGTGGGCCAAAATCCCTGCTGCAGTGTGTGCAAACCTGGTCAAGACCTACAGGAAACGTATGATCTCTGTAATTGCAAACAAAGGTTTCTGTACCAAATATTAAGTTCTGCTTTTCTGATGTATCAAATACTTATGTCATGCAATAAAATGCAAATGAATTACTTAAAAATCATACAATGTGATTTTCTGGATTTTTGTTTTAGATTCCGTCTCTCACAGTTGAAGTGTACCTATGATAAAAATTACAGACCTCTACATGCTTTGTAAGTAGGAAAACCTGCAAAATCGGCAGTGTATCAAATACTTGTTCTCCCCACTGTATATAGTTAGGAGTTTGTCCATAACATTTCATCTGACTGGTAGCTTAGCAGGTAGAGTAGGGAACTATGGAACATTCAGGGATTTGAGGGTATGTTTTATGTGAAACCACACTTTCTGCATTTGTTTTATTTAGCATAGTAATAGCTTCTGTCTTAAGCATCCTAAATAATGCCATAGATTCAGTAAAAAATATATAGTAAACTTGAAGGCAAAAAAGTGAAGGATGATGTAAACCTGGTATTCCACTCGATTATAGGCTGCTAAAGCCAACGACTTGCCGCTGCGCTACAAAGTTTTAATGAAAACTGTGAAGTCTATCTGATATTCACTTGCTGCTATTATTGCTGACCAGCAGATGTCACTAATGTGCATTGTGAACATATAGTGACGCTCAGAGTAATGAACAATTTTTTGGCACAATTTGGTGAAAGTGCCGAAGCCTTCAGAAAGCCTTGGTTTTCCATCACTACTAAACACTCAACCATTAGGTTTGAGACTTGCTGCCACTCTGATCTGTTCCCTACACACATTAAATTGTTAAGGAACTACTACCACATTTCAGTTAAATTGGTACAGCACTCTCACTAATGGGTGCAACAAATATGGTCTCTTACAAGGCACGCCTCTAAATATGTTAATGAGCCAGAAACAACAATACCATGCACGCATTACTGTTCAAAAGGTTTTTGCTCTCCTAAAATACAGTATGGTACTGTATTATGTGGTGTACAGCATTCTTATTACGGGTACAACAAATATAGCCTCTTACAAGGCACGCCTCCAAATACAGTGAGGGAAAAAAGTATATGATCCCCTACTGATTTTGTACGTTTGCCCACTGACAAAGACATGATCAGTCTATAATTTTAATGGTAGGTTTATTTGAACAGTGAGAGACAGAATAATAACAAAAACATCCAGAAAAACGCATGTCAGAAATGTTATAAATTAATTTGCATTTTAATGAGGGAAATAAGTATTTGACCCCTCTGCAAAACATGACTTAGTACTTGGTGGCAAAACCCTTGTTGGCAATCACAGAGGTCAGACGTTTCTTGTAGTTGGCCACCAGGTTTGCACACATCTCAGGAGGGATTTTGTCCCACTCCTCTTTGCAGATCTTCTCCAAGTCATTAAGGTTTTGAGGCTAACGTTTGGCAACTCAAACCTTCAGTTCCCTCCACAGATTTTCTATGGGATTAAGGTCTGGAGACTGGCTAGGCCACTCCAGGACCTTAATGTGCTTCTTCTTGAGCCACTCCTTTGCTGCCTTGGCCGTGTGTTTTGGGTCATTGTCATGCTGGAATACCCATCCACGACCCATTTTCAATGCCCTGGCTGAGGGAAGGAGGTTCTCACCCAAGATTTGATGGTACATGGCCCCGTCCATCATCCCTTTGATGTGGTGAAGTTGTCCTGTCCCCTTAGCAGAAAAACACCCCCAAAGCATAATGTTTCCACCTCCATGTTTGACGGTGGGGATGGTGTTCTTGGGGTCATAGGCAGCATTCCTCCTCCTCCAAACACGGCGAGTTGAGTTGATGCCAAAGAGCTCCATTTTGGTCTCATCTGACCACAACACTTTCACCCAGTTCTCCTCTGAATCATTCAGATGTTCATTGGCAAACTTCAGACGGCCCTGTATATGTGCTTTCTTGAGCAGGGGGACCTTGCGGGCGCTGCAGGATTTCAGTCCTTCACGGCGTAGTGTGTTACCAATTGTTTTCTTGGTGACTATGGTCCCAGCTGCCTTGAGATTATTGACAAGATCCTCCCGTGTAGTTCTGGGCTGATTCCTCACCGTTCTCATGATCATTGCAACTCCATGAGGTGAGATCTTGCATGGAGCCCCAGGCCGAGGGAGATTGACAGTTATTTTGTGTTTCTTCCATTTGCGAATAATCGCACCAACTGTTGTCACCTTCTCACCAAGCTGCTTGGCGATGGTCTTGTAGCCCATTCCAGCCTTGTGTAGGTCTACAATCTTGTCCCTGGCATCCTTGGAGAGCTCTTTGGTCTTGGCCATGGTGGAGAGTTTGGAATTTGATTGATTGATTGCTTCTGTGGACAGGTGTCTTTTATACAGGTAACAAACTGAGATTAGGAGCACTCCCTTTAAGAGTGTGCTCCTAATCTCAGCTCGTTACCTGTATAAAAGACACCTGGGAGCCAGAAATCTTTCTGATTGAGAGGTGTCACACCCTGGTTCTGGGACTCGTTATGTTGAGCCAGGGTGTGTGCATTCTATGTGTTTATTTCAATGTTGGTAGTTCTGTTGTGTCTATTTCTAGGTTGTTGTATGTTTGTATTGAGTGACTACCGATCGGAGGTAACGAGTGTCAGCTGTCGGCTCGTTGTCTCTGATTGGGAGCCATATTTATACTGTGTGTTTTCACCTTGGGGTTGTGGGTTTTTGTTCCGTGACGGTATGTTTAACCGTGGACTTCACGAATCGTGTTTTGTTTATATTTAGGAACTTTAATTAAATAAAGTCATGTTTATTTCACACGCTGCGCCTTGGTCTACTACTCCTTACCCAGACGATCGTGACAAGAGGGGGTCAAATACTTATTTCCCTCATTAAAATGCAAATCAATTTATAACATTTTTGACATGCATTTCTCTGGATTATTTTGTTGTTATTCTGTCTCTCACTGTTCAAATAAACCTACCATTACAATTATAGACTGATCATGTATTTGTCAGTGGGCAAACGTACAAATCAGCAGGGCATCAAATACTTTTTTCCCTCACTGTATGTTAATGAGCCAGATATTCTTTCCCCGCCACCAAAACATTTTCCCACAATGCACCATAATTCACAGTATGCTGCTGTAAATATACAGCAAAATTGCTGTAATTTTACAACAGTGTAGCGGAATGCCATTGAGCCCCCATAATCCATTGCTCTTTACAGTACTCTACTGTACTGGAATATATAATTACAGTAGCTAACTGTATATTTTTGGCTGTAAATGTACAGCAATTTGTTACAGTGTAGGCGGTGTGATGGAGGTGTGTAACTCAGGTGTGTGAGTGTATGTGTTTGCGTGTGTGTGTAGGGGTGGTGTGTATGGGTGGGATGCTGTTCCAGTCCTGTGTGTCGTCCTGTGGCCGCTCCTGCCGCTCCCTCTCCAGCGGAGAGACTTGTAACCATGACGACTGTGCTGAGGGGTGTGGCTGCTCAGAGGGCAGTTACTACGATGACATACGACAACGCTGCGTTCAGCCGTAAGACTCCGCCCCCCTACATGTTGTCACCTAACATACACCTTGCCTGGCTACCCAAACTCCTTGCTCCGGCAAAATGCTACGCCACATCCATAGAACGCAAACACATTCTAACCAGAAACCGATTGGTGGGGCCAGAGCCAGAACCCACATTGGTAAAGCAGCATTTTGAAAATTCATCATTGTCTTTGATACACGATTGGTTAGAAATGATTAAATCGCTGATGACTTTGTTGTGTACAACAACCCTAATTTCAAATAACAAACAATTTCAATGATGGCAGTCAAACACATAGGACTTGACCCTTCCATCATCCTCTCCTCTTTTCTCTCTCAGGTCTCAGTGTCATTGTTACTCTATTGGCGGGGTGTCCCAGCCAGGGGAGGTGTCCTTCAGCGCCGCCGGACCTTGGTAAGCAGCCACACACACATACTAACCCTGCTACGTAGAGGGTTCATAGAGAGGTTATAGAGAGTTCACTTCACAGACATAAACCCTTCAAACAATCTCCCTAATTGGTAACATTAGAGCTCTGAAAAAGTGTTATTCTCTTTCTCCCACTCTGTCTCCCATCAACAGCCTGTGCACAAATGGAAGGATGGAGTGTGTACCAGAAGAAAGAGGTCAACCAACCATCTCTCTCTTATTCCCCTCTCTCCATTCCTTTTTTATTTTCCATCCATCCATCCTTCAACAAAGCTCTGTTTCTGAATGACCTCTGTCTGTGTGTTTTAGAGCCGGAGCGAGGCCAGTGTCCGGAGGGAAAGGTGTTCCACGGCTGTTCTGAGCCGCAGGGGGTCCAGGGGGTGGCTGCTTGGCGAGGAGGTGTGGCTTGTGAGCTCACCTGTCGGAACCTGATGTTGAACCTCACCTGTCCTCCCACCACGCTCTGCATACCTGGCTGTGTCTGCCCACCTGGGTAGGGTGTGTGTGTCTGTGTGTTATTTTAACTCTTTAAAAAAAAAAAAAACTTTGCGTCAAACTAATTAACATGATCCCCATAAAAATCTGTCTGTTTAAGCTAGAGATATCTGTTTTTTTGAATGGGCTGCGTCTCAATCCACCATATCCGCTACAGCACTGTTTGTCAGACCTAGAGACATCCCGAAAATCGGTCTTCTCACGAAAACGTCTGTAGCATCCGAACGGTTTGGCCTACAAACTATGGAAAGATGAGGCTCTCCCGAAGATGATGGTGTTCTCCGTTTTGCTCTACAAGAGCCACAGGACTCGTCTGAAGTCGATACAGTCGATGTGCCAACTTCTTTCTGTAGCATCCGAACCGTTTAGGCTACAAACTAATATCACCCCACAATGGAAAGAGGAGACTCTCACGAATCCGTTTTGTTCTATGACCCCCACAAGTGTCAGAGGACTCATCTGAAGGTAACCCAGTACAGGTTTAAAAAGTAGTTTTGGAAGTAGTATGGAAGTAGTTTTGTGCCCCAAGGAATGTGTTATTCAATGCGTTTTCTATAAGCTATAGCAGTAAAGGCCAAATTCAATATTTATTGTTTTATACCTACAGGGGCCCTAGAATTCCAAATCAAATAGCTAAATGATCCATGGTATGATCATCTTAAAACAATTCCACATGTTAGCTTAATATAACCCCACCCCCCAAAGGCTTAGACTTTTAGGGGTTAACACAGAAAAAAAGTATTTTATTATTTCTGAACAAGATATGTACAATGTATTATCACACACATGCTTGTGCCCTGATTGTTGTAATGCTTATACTGTCTGTGTGTGTGCTTGTGTGTGGGTGTGTGTGGGTGTGTGTGTGTGTGTGGGTACGTGTGTAGGCTGGTGCTGCACCGTGGGGAGTGTTACTACCCAGAGAACTGTCCCTGTGCCTGGCTGGGCCTGGAGTATCTGCCAGGAGAGACCGTCGACACTCCCTGTTACAGATGGTAAGACCCTCCCTTAAAGGAAAACTCCACCGAAAAACTGTACTTTGGTATTTGTTTCATTAGTCCATTATTGATATAGTCCCAAAATGTTTTGAATGTCAGCAATCATGTTTTCAAGATATACAGTGCCTTCGGAAAGCATTCAGACCGCTTGACTTTTCCCACATTTTGTTAAGTTACAGCCTTATTCTAAAATGGATTTAAAAATAAAAATCCTCAGCAATCTACACACAATACCCCATAATGAGAAAACGAAAACAGTGAGAAAATGAAAACAGCTTTTTAGAAATGTTTGCAAATGTATTAAATATAAAATAAGTATTCAGACCCTTTGCTATGAGACTCGAAATTGAACTCAGGTGCATCCTGTTTCCATTGATCATCCTTGAGATGTTTCTTCAACTTGATTGGAGTCCGCCTGTGGTAAATTCAATTGATTGGACATGATTTGGAAAGGTACACACCTGTCTATATAAGGTCCCACAGTTGACAGTGCATGTCAGAGTAAAAACCAAGCCATGAGGTCGAAGGAATTGTCCGTAGAGCTCCGAAACAGGATTGTGTCAAGGCACAGATCTGGGGAAGGGTACCAAAAAATCTCTGCAGCATTGAAGGTCTCCAAGAACACTGTGGCCTCCATCATTCTTAAATGGAAGAAGTTTGGAACCACCAAGACTCTTCCTAGAGCTGGCCGCCTGGCCAAACTGAGCAATCGGGGGAGAAGGGCCTTGGTCAGGGAGGTGACCAAGAACCCGATGGTCACTCTGACAGAGCTCTAGAGTTCCTCTGTGGAGATGGGAGAACCTTCCAGAAGGACAACCATCTCTGCAGCACTCCACCAATCAGGCCTTTATGGTAGAGTGGCCAGACGGAAGCCACTCCTCAGTAAAAGGCACTTGACAGCCCGCTTGGAGTTTGCCAAAAGGCACTTAAAGACTCTCAGACCATGAGAAACAAGATTCTCTGGTCTGATGAAACCAAGATTGAATCTTTGGCCTGAATGCCAAGCGTCACGTCTGGAGGAAACCTGGCACCATCCCTACGGTGAAACATGGTGGTGGCAGCATCATGCTGTGGGGATGTTTTTCAGCAACACGGACTGGGAGACTAGTCAGGATCGAGGTAAAGATGAATGGAGAAAGTACAGAGAGATTCTTGATGAAAACCTGCACCAGAGCGCTCAGGACCTCAGACTGGGGCGAAGGTTCACCTTCCAACAGGACAACGACCATAAGCACACAGCCAAGACAATTCAGGAGTGGCTTCGGGACAAGTCTCTGAATGTCCTTGAGTGGCCCAGCCTGAGCCCGGACTTGAACCCGATCTAACATCTCTGGAGAGATCTGAAAATAGCTGTGCAGCAACGCTCCCCATTCAACCTGACAGAGCTTGAGAGGATCTGCAGAGAAGAATGGGAGAAACTCCCCAAATACAGGTGTGCCAAGCTTGTAGCGTCATACCCAAGAAGACTCAAGGCTGTAATCGCTGCCAAAGGTGCTTCAACAAAGTACTGAGTAAAGGGTCTGAATACTTATGGAAATGTGATATTTCCTTTAAAAAATATATATATATTAGCAAAAATGTCTGTAAACCTGTTTTTGCTCTGTCATTGTGGGGTATTGTGTGTAGATTGATGAGGGAACAAAACAATTTAATCAATTTTAGAATAAGGCTGTAACCTAACAAAATGTGGAAAAAGTCAAGGGGTCTGAATGCTTTCCAAAGGCACTGTACAGTATAACTTTCAAAATACAGAAATACAGCCGGTATGATGCACATTGACTCAGTACTGGTATTCCTTATATATGTCCTCGTTATTGTTATTTTATTGTGTTACTATTTCCTTTTTTTTTAGCAAATATTTTTCGTACTTTTTAACTCTGCGTTGTTGGGAATGGGCTCTTAAGTAAGCATTTCACTGTGAAGTCTACACCTGTTGTATTCGGCGTATGTGACCAATACAATTTGATATGAATTGATACTGGCTGTATTTCTGTATTTTGAAAGTTATATATCTTGAAAACTTGATTGCTGACATGCAAAACATTGGACTAATGAAACAAATACCAAAAAATAGTTTTTCAGTGGATTTTTCCTTTAAGGATTGTTAAATGCTATTAACATGAAAAAAAGAGAGCACTAGTATCCTAAATATTGTTCAAATGCTCAATTGTGTTTAATTTACTGTCTTCTCTTTGTCTTTATTTTTGTCTGTATTTCTCCCTCTCTGTCTATGTATCTCTCTCCCTGTCTCTGTCTCTCTCCAGTGTGTGTCACCGGGGGTATTTTAACTGTAATTACTCTCCGTGTCCGGCAGTGTGTACGGTCTACAGCGACAGACACTACCACACCTTTGACGGCCTGGAGTATGACTACCACTCGGACTGTCAGGTCTACCTACTCAAGGTGTGTGTGTGTGTGTGTGTGTGTGTGTGTGTGTATTTTTTTTATTAACCTTTATTGAACCAGGGAAACCCATTGAGACCAAGGTCTCATTTCCAATGGTGCCCTGAGAACAACAGTTCAAGCAATGTGAGCAAAACATTTAAGCATGATCACAAAACAATTACAGTTACAACATTTCAAATAAATTTACATTCAAAAGGCTGTAGAAACAAATACATACAAACAATCAAAACAATTTCAGTTTTCGTTGGTCACATTTTTTTATCCCTAAATTCACCTTCTGTGACCAAATAATAACGTTTTAGAGTGACATGTAGGTCATTCCAGGACTGAGACACATAGTAACTGAAAGCAGTCTTCCCTAACTCAGAGGAGACCCGTGGAACCTCTAATATCAACCAGTCTTGAGAGCGAGTCTTATAGTTACTAGATTTCCAATTTAGAAGTGAGGTGAGATAGTATGGGAGTTTCTGGAGAAGTGCTTTATATATGAATAATAGCCAATGTTGGGCCCTTCTGGTAGTCAGACACTCCCAGACAACAGAACTATAAGAGACAATGATGCGTACGGAAATTATCACCAGTGATAAAACGCAAGGCTGAGTGGTAGACTGAATCTAGAGGTTTTAACACAGAGTGTTGCTTGAACTATCTTCCTCCTATTTTCAAAAGTGAGACAAGATGTATTTCTATACAGGAAACAAGACTACTCGCAACTTTTTGTCAGCTTATTAATGTGCGTTTTAAAGGACAGCTTATCCAAATACATAGATGCTTATAATGGGGGGCTAGCTCAATTTGGGCTCGTGTCAAGGTACAGATACACAGAACTTTATGATACATTTTTTAAGACCTGGAGACATAAACTTGGTTTTATCAACATTTAACACTAATGTAGGATCGGTGAGCGATTCTTGAATTGAATTAAAGCCAAGCAGAAGGTCGTGAATGGCCTGCTGCACTGAGGGGGCACGGGAATAAATAACTGTGTCATCCGCATAGAGATGTAAGCCCCAGTTAGGGCAGCGCAGTGCTGTTTCTTGGCTAGTGCGTTAACTATGTCAAATGGACCGCAGCTGAGAATTTACCAAGAGTTCTAATATTTTCGGTAGACATGAAAGTTTTGAAATTGGGCAATAATTATTAAGATCGTAGGGATCACCACCTTTATGGAATGGGAGAACAAGGGCTACCTTCCACACATTATGAATAAAAACCAAGAGAAAAGGCTCCATAATCAGAGGTGCAGCAAGCCTTAGAAGTCACTGATCAAGCATGTCTGCCAGAAGTCCAGAACTTCCCTAGTAGTGACTTGCCGAAGAGTGAACAGTGGGTCACCATTTACAGTAGCAGGCAAATCTGATTAAACAGGGTTGCATCAGAGATTAGCTTGTATTATGTTCATGAACAGTATTTTCAGAGTTGTCCTTATTGCTGCGATTTCCCCTTTCAAATAAATGGCCTGCAGCAATAAAATGTTATTTCAGTTTTGTCTGTTATAGTATTGGCGTTAAATACAACCTAATTGGGCAGAGAGCTGCTTCTTTTGAGTGATTGAATAGCCTTCCCAAATTTTTGCTGGATTGCCACAAGGGTCAGATATGGAATTAATGAAATAGTTCAATTTAGCCCTTTTTATGGAAGCAGTAAACGTATTTCTAAGTTATCTGAAGGTGAGCCAGTCAGCAGAGCTACCAGTGTGTCTGGCTTCAGACCAAGAATTGTTCCTTAGCTGAATTAACTCAGAAAGTTCAGGCGTGAACCATGGGTTTGCTCTATCTTTAATTCTTAATCTCTTCATAGGAGCATGTTTTTCAGATACAGTTGAAGTCGGAAGTTTACATACACCTTAGCCAAATACATTTAAACTCAGTTTTTCACCATTCCTGACATTTAATCCTAGTAAAAATTCCCTGTTTTAGGTCAGTTAGGATCACCACTTTATTTTAAGAATGTGAAATGTCAGAATAATAGTAGAGAGAATGAATTATTTCAGCTTTTATTTCTTTCATCACATTCCCAGTGGGTCAGAAGTTTACATACACTCAATTAGTATTTGGTAGCATTGCCTTTAAATTGTTTAACTTGGGTCAAACGTTTCGGGTAGCCTTCCACAAGCTTCCCACAATAAGTTGGGTGAATTCTGGCCCATTCCTCCTGACAGAGCTGGTGTAACTGAGTCAGGTTTGTAGGCCTCCTTGCTCGCACACGCTTTTTCAGTTCTGCCAACAAATGTTCTATAGGATTGAAGTCAGGGCTTTGTGATGGCCACTCCAATACCTTGACTTTGTTGTCCTTAAGCCATTTTGCCACAACATTGGAAGTATGCTTGGGGTCATTGTCCATTTGGAAAACCCATTTGCGACCAAGCTTTAACTTCCTGACTGATGTCTTGAGATGTTGCTTCAATATATCCACATAATTTTCCTTCCTCATGATGCCATCTATTTTGTGAAGTTCACCAGTCCCTCCTGCAGCAAAGCACACCCACAGCATGATGCTGCCACCCCCGTGCTTCACGGTTGGGATGGTGTTCTTCGGCTTGCAAGCAGCCCCCTTTTTCCTCCAAACTTAACGATGGTCATTATGGCCAAACAGTTCTATTTTTGTTTCATCAGACCAGAGGACATTTCTCCAAAAAGTACGATATTTGTCCCCATGTGCAGTTGCAAACCATAGTCTGGCATTTTTATGGCGGTTTTGGAGCAGTTGCTTCTTCCTTGCTGAGCAGCATTTCAGGTTATGTCGATATAGGACTAGTTTTACTGTGGATATAGGTACTTTTGTACGTGTTTCCTCCAGCATCTTCACAAGGTCCTTTGCTGTTGTTCTGGGATTGATTTGCACTTTTCGCACCAAAGTACGTTCATCTCTAGGAGACAGAACGCGTCTCCTTCCTGAGCGGTATGACGGCTGCGTGGTCCCATGGTGTTTATACTTGCGTACTATTGTTTGTACAGATGAACGTGGTACCTTCAGGCGTTTGGAAATTGCTCCCAAGGATGAACCAGACTTGTGGAGGTCTACAATTTCTTTCTGAGGTCTTGGCTGATTTCTTTTGATTTTCCCATGATGTCAAGCAAAGAGGCACCGAGTTTGAAGGTAGGCCTTGAAATACATCCACAGGTACACCTCCAATTGACTCAAATGATGTCAATTAGTCTATCAGAAGCTTCTAAAGCCATGACATCATTTTCTGGAATTTTCCAAGCTGTTTAAAGGCACAGTCAACTTAGTGTATGTAAACTTCTGACCCACTGGAATTGTGATGCAGTGAATTATAAGTGAAATAATCTGTCTGTAAACAATTGTTGGAAAAATTACTTGTGTCATGCACAAAGTAGATGTCCTAACCGACTTGCCAAAACTATAGTTTGTTAACAAGACATTTGTGGAGTGGTTGAAAAACGAGTTTTAATGACTCCAACCTAAGTGTATGTAAACTTCCGACTTCAACTGTACAGAGATAAACATACTAGAGAATTGTTCATGGTCAAGTTATGCTTCCGGAGTGTCATTCACACTAAGTAATGGAAGTGTTTAAAGTTTCTCTTAGTGATAAGGCGTGGTTTAGTTTTAGGCAACTTTGTGTTTCTGACACAGACTATGGGACAGTGATCACTGAGGTCCATAGCAAAGACACCACTAGTTTAGTATTTATGAGGGTTATTTGTAAGTATGAGATCAATCAGAGTTGATTTAGCAGGATTATTTACGTTAAAAAGAGTGGGCTCAGAAATCAGTTGGACTAAGTTCTGATAAATACATGCTGATTTCAGACAATCAGACGAGGGAGTAAGCCAAACGAGATTCAGATCCCCCAATATCACTATTTCAGAGGCTATGAATGGGGCTAGTTTGCTCCCGCGGTGGCAGAGGAGGGTGATAGATCCCAGCAACATAGAAAGTAAAATTCTGGGAAATAACAACATTTATAACTAGTAGCTCAAATTGGGTCACCTTAAAGTTGTTTTCCACATACATTGCTATACCGCCACCATTCTTTGGCCTATCACATCTGTAAACATTTTAATCATGAAGTGCAATGGAGTTATCATCAACAGAGCTTTTTAACCATGTTTCAGAGCACACTAAAATGTCGGGATTTGTATCCCATACCCAAATGTCCAACATGTCCATCTTGGAGATAATACTTTGTACATTCATTTGCATTAGCCAAAGCCTGAGCCTTGTTTTAAAGTCTGCTGGAGAGTGTACAGTCGGAGGATGGGGCAGACTGGCAGAGCAAACAGTACTAATGGGGGGAAATAGCTCAACAGGATTTAGATGGCTGATTTTAGCAGCTCTAGAACTGAGAGACTTTCTAGCAGACCGTACACGGGACTGAGTAGTAATAACGGGAATTACCTATGGGCTTGGGCTGTCAGAGAGTCACTGGGTTAGCGACTGTGCTATGTTCAAAGAGAGCCGCTGTGCTCTGTGCTCTGTGTGTGTGTGTGTGTGTGTGTGTGTGTGTTCGTGCGTGCATGCATGCAAGTGATTGTGTGTGTGTGTGTGTGGGTGTGTGTGTGTAGGCAGATTGGGATCAGGGAAAGGGGATCCAAGGAGTTTCTCTAATCTGGGAACGATTTTTAATTAGAGCGACTGAGGTAAGCAAAGCTGGATCAACACACACACACACACACACACACACACACACACACACACACACACACACACCTGAGTAACACAAAGAGTGGCCTGTTCGCGGCAGACTCCCAGGGATATAAAATTAGAATGAGCAGGACGTTGGGACATTCCAGTTATAATCAAGGTTCTGTGGTGGCTGGACCGGCAGCCATATTGTGTGTTCTATCTGATGCTGATCACATCACAGTTCCCTGTTCTGTTGTCTATTCTGTTACCCAGGGCTATGAGCTGGGGTAACCAACTAAGTCTCCTGATCCCTCCTGAAACAGATATGCATTGTATCTGACAGGTACTCTAAGATACACTACATGTCCAAAAGTATGTGGACATCTGCTCGTCGAACATCTAATTACAAAATCATGGGCATTAATATGGAGTTGGTCCCCCCTTTGCTGCTATAACAACCTCCACTCTTCTGGGAAGGCTTTCCACTAGATGTTGGAGCATTGCTGCGGGGACTTGCTTCCATTCATTCACAAGAGCATTAGTGAGGTTGGGCACTGATGTTCGGCGATTAGGCCTGGCTTGCAGTCGGCGTTCCAATTCATCCCAAAGGTGTTCATTGGGGGTTGAAGTCAGGGCTCTGTGCAGGCCAGTCAAGTTCTTCTCGACAAACCATTTCTGTATGGACCTTGCTTTGTGCACAGGGGCATTGTCATGCTGAAACAGGAAAGGGCCTTCCCCAAACTGTTGCCACAAAGTTGGAAGCACAGAATCGTCTAGAATGTAATTGTATGCTGTAGCGTTAAGATTTCCCTTCACTGGAACTAAGGGGCCTAGCCCGAACCATGAAAAACAGCCCCAGACCATTATTCTTCCTCCAACTTTACAGTTGGCACTATGCATTTGGGCAGGTAGCGTTCTCCTGGCAGCCGCCAAACCCAGATTTGTCAGTCGGACTGCCAGATGGTGAAGCGTGATTCAGAGAACTTGTTTCTACTGCTCCAGAGTCCAATGGCGACGAGCTTTACACCACTCCAGCTGACACTTGGCATTGCGCTAGGTGATCTTAGGCTTGTGTGCAGCTGCTCGGCCATGGAAACCCATTTCATGAAGCTCCCGACGAACAGTTCTTGTGCTGACTTTGCTTCCAGAAGCATTTTGGAACTCGGTAGAGAGTGTTGCAACTGAGGACAAACGATTTTTACGCGCTACACACTTCAGCACTCAGCGGTCCCATTCTGTGAGCTTGTGTGGCTTACCACTTTGTGGCTGAGCCGTTGTTGCTCCTAGACATTTCCACTTCACAATAACAGCACTTACAGTTGACTGGGGAAGCTCTATGATGATGCCACGTTGAAAGTCACTGAGCTCTTCAGTACGGGCCACTCTACTGCCAATGTTTGTCTATGGAGATTGCATGGCTGTGTGCTCAATTGTATACACCTGTCAGCAATGGGTGTGGCTGAAATAGTTCAATCCACTAATTTGAAGGGGTGTCCACATATTTTGTATACAGCTGAAGTCGGAAGTTTACATACACCTTAGCCAAATACATTTAAACTCAGTTTTTCACAATTCCTGACATTTAATCCTAGTACAAATTCCCAGTTAGGATCACCACTTTATTTTAAGAATGTGAAATGTCAGAATAATAATAGAGAGAATGGTTTATTTCAGCTTTTATTTCTTTCATCACATTCCCAGTGGGTCAGAAGTTTACATACACTCAATTAGTATTTGGTAGAATTGCCTTTAAATTGCTTAACTTGGGTCAAACGTTTTGGGTAGCCTTCCACAAGCTTCCCACAATAAGTTGGGTGAATTCTGGCCCATTCCTCCTGACAGAGCTGGTGTAACTGAGTCAGGTTTGAAGGCTTCCTTGCTCGCACATGCTTTTTCAGTTCTGCCCACACATTTTCTATAGGATTGAAGTCAGGGCTTTGTGATGGCCACTCCAATACCTTGACTTTGTTGTCCTTAAGCCATTTTGCCACAACTTTGGAAGTATGCTTGGGGTCATTGTCCATTTGGAAAACCCATTTGCGACCAAGCTTTAACTTCCTGACTGATGTCTTGAGATGTTGCTTCAATATATCCACATAATTTTCCTTCCTCATGATGCCATCTATTTTGTGAAGTTCACCAGTCCTTCCTGCAGCAAAGCACCCCACAGCATGATGCTGCCACCCCCGTGCTTCACGGTTGGGATGGTGTTCTTCGGCTTGCAAGCCTGCCCCTTTTTCCTCCAAACATAACAATGGTCATTATGGCCAAACAGTTCTATTTTTGTTTCATCAGACCAGAGGACATTTCTCCAAAAAGTACGATCTTTGTCCCCATGTGCAGTTGCAAAGCGTAGTCTGGCTTTTTTATGGCGGTTTTGGAGCACTGGCTTCTTCCTTGCTGAGCGGCCTTTCAGGTTATGTCGATATAGGACTTGTTTTACTGTGGATATAGATACTTTTGTACCTGTTTCTTCCAGCATCTTCACAAGGTCCTTTGCTGTTGTTCTGGGATTGATTTGCACTTTTCGC